AAAATAAAATCTTCCAGTTTGCTTTCTATACTTCATGATACCGCTTCAGGTACTTCGATAATTTTTAAAAAGAAATAGTAGCGATGGATCATTGTGTATATCAGATTTTTTTTTTTTCCAACAGATGTCTTCAAATAATTTGTAACTATAAAAAGAATAGCAGGAGCACAGCTTTGATATGCACGTACGTAGAATCATCTGATTTAGAGAGAAAAAAAATATTTATCCCTTAAGCCTGCCATTCCAATGATTTTCACTCGTTAATTTGAAGTGCAATTGGAATAAAATAATCCTTGTGAAAAAATTAACGAAAGGAGACAAATTTCAGTAGTTAACTAGATTCACTTTCCTCGACATTAGTAATTGGACAGATTTAACCAGAATCAACGTAACTCTATTTCATATGAACTAATTCCCTCTTAACTCCATTTTTCAATGGAGGATTAAACAACACAATGTCTTGAAACTTTCTGTAAATTTTCCTTGGCTTACAAGGAGTGTGCTTAAAAATCTCACGTCAAAATGATGATTAATTTTTTGTTGAAAAAATAAACAAGATAGGAAATTATCTGTTTGATGTAAGTAGGCTGACCCCTATAAAATCTGCTCATTTAGTTACTTCTTGTCAGCTCGATTAATTTCTGTTTTCGTCTTACTTCCTTCTGAATGATGCGTCGAAATACACACGGGTTTTTCATTAAATTTTGAATAGACTTTCAAGAATAGATCTTTCACAAGAAGCAATTATTTTCTAGCTTGGGGCCTCTTTACGAATCTTTGTGATTCAGTGTGTCCAGGGAACTAAAAAGGAAAAAAAAAAGAAAACAAAAAACGACGGGAGAGATAACAGTGAAAACCATTGTTATGACAGGCGACTCCTTCAAAACTATCCTGAGTGCATCGAAAAAGATATCTTAATTTTCATCGGACGAGCCGAGCTAGTAAGATCATGGCGGAGTAAATATGAAACTTAGAACATTAAGTGAGAACGAGTAGAATACCTTTGATTTACTTATCACTGATTTGCTACTGAAATTCTACACAAGATGTCGAGACAGCAGAACAAAGCCTTGCACCTCAGTGAGCGGAACTGTGCAAGTTTGAACAGGTTTTCAATGACAGCGGTCCCTCTGATATTATAAACAACAAGTCGTAAGTACTAAGCCTCAATTTTATTAATAACAACTAATACATGCAGCTCGTTTGACTCACGAGCAATCTTAATAATCGTTCGTATTTGAAGCAACAGAAATTTTTATCATGATGCAAAGGGAACAGTTCCAGTGTTTAAGATACACTTAATTCTTTCTGCCCAATTTAAGCTGTAGAAAAGTGCAAGGTTGCAATGATGCCAGAATTAGAATTGATACTGGCGAGAAGGTATTAAAGGGCTCCTTACAGAAAAATGGGCTTAATTATGTAACTGTCAGATTATTGGACGATTATGACCTCAAACATTTTTAGTATATTGATCGTCTCTTGGCCGAGTAGATTTGTGGGAGGGAGGCAACCCCCCCCTTCAATTCCGCCCTTGAGCATCCTTGGTAAAAAAATCTTTCGATGCTTTGGGTAAAAAGACAGGTAGTATGCGACCATCTACTGTGCAAATCCTAACTGAACATTTTAAAAAGCGAGGAGTTTGCAAAATTTGTTGTTTATTTAAATTAGGTTTAAGATAAATATAAATAAATTACCCGCAAACATGGTAAATTGAAAAATACATAATATCGCCAGCACAAATTGTACGTTTTGAAAAGTAGTTGATGTCCAGACATTCCGATGTGCTCAATGTGATTTTCGTTCACTTTAACCTGTACAAAGCCTACTCAATAACTTGTAGTTTTCGACTGCAGCTGACCCATTACAGAACTCTCAGATCAAACTCTCTTGATAATTTAAAACCTTAACCACGAAACATGGAATGTTATTCTATCAGGCTACTGAAAGAGTTAGTTCATAGATTTTAAAATTTAGTGAACAGAACAATGACGTATCAGCTTAACTTTCGAACAATTCAGAATTGACTGACTTTTTTTTTTTTTTTTGGGAATAAAATGCTTTGTGAGTGTTCGAAGTTGACGGAGGGAAAATTAAGGGAATGAGGATTTGCGGTACATATTAAAGCTTAAAAGGGCAAAAGAATAGACAGGCAAAGAGGTAAAAAATGTTTTTCATGCTCATCTGCTCACTTTCATCACAATAAAAATTCTGAGCTGAAAACTAGTTGGCTGATTTTGATAGGAGCTGTATTAAGAATCCACTTTTCTTTCAATTCTGGTTATTTTGAATTAATTTCTTCAGTTTTCAGTTTTCATTATTCATTTAGAATAATTTTCTTGGTCCATTTTATATAAATAGATCTTCATGTTTTGTAACAGTAAGAAACGAGCAACATTAATATAATTTTGTTTCTTTTTGGTTCTGGGTTTTCTTATTTGGGTTACGTATTTTCGTCAGTAAAGTAGACTGAGTTAAAAATGAAAAGAAAAATGTACATAAAAGTCGAGCTGCGTATCAAAATTGATTCAATCAGAACGCAAGAACCAGGTTAAGGATGCATTTTTGTGATGCAATAAGCAGTCAAAAACGCTTAAGTTTTCCTTCAACGTGTCTCCAAAGTCTCTCATTTCAGAATTTCATGACACATTAGGATCTTGTTGCATTGAACACTTCATAAAATGAGTGAACTTGCGTCCAAGGAAAAAAACCTCGAAAGGAAATGCTAAGATTTCAGGTACACAAATGGAAGGAAGGAAAAACAGGGTAAAATTTATCAGCGGCTATCATTGTTAATAAACCGATTCTTATTCCATCATCAGTCTATCGACTGAAAACTTAAGGATTTGAAACTCATTTTAGAAAGATTTTTTTACTACCAATTTAAAACTCTTTGGTCTTTTGAGTTCTAAAAAACTAGAAAACTCCTTCAAAGCTGTAATTATCTGCCTACACATTAGAATATTTTAGTTGAAATATTTACTGTGATTAACTTTACAATTACTAAAATAGTGTCTCCGACTCATAAAAAAATGTCTTATTTATAGGAGTTAAGCTATGATTTAAATCGGAGACACGGCTTATTTCATTACCATTTGAGTAACTCTTACTGAAAGAAATAAACAAAAATGTCCTTACCATATCAAATATTTAAACGATTAAGAGTTGAAAAAATTGAGTGTGAATAATACGAGGATGGAGGGGTTGCCCGTGACAACTGGATCTGATAAAAAATAGCTGCAAGGAAAAAGCTTGGAACGTTACGCTGGGGCTGAGGAAAAACAACGTTGATTAATTCGGAGAAAACGGCAAATTAAAGACTGTCAAGATGACTTGAAATGCTCTACGTCAATGTAGGCGTCATAGAACTCAAGACAGATTAAATTCTAAATTTCTTTTCAAAATCACACAGTGACTTTCATCCCAATTAATTTGTTAATTCTTCATTTTTCATCTGAGTAAGTTCTTTTATTTAGTAAAGTCCGTGAAAGGGAATATTAGGCACTTCTAAATTTTCAAATTAGAATAATTAAGTTATTAAGGTGTTGTAATTTCTTGTAAGTTTGAAGATTTTCAGTATGCAGGAAAGTTTATACGAGTAAATATGATCATAAACGAACACCCACAAATATATAAAAAATTAGTGTAAAATTTCTAGTCGGCAAACCAGTTACAGTGAATAATTTTTCTCCCCTCAAAAACAGAAACACCTGTAAAAAGACATTAGGTAATGAGGCTCTTCAGATAGCCAGAAAGTGACACAGTGCACCGCTAAGGAAACCAAATACAAAAGAGATCCATTTGACTTCCAAGAAATACACTTGAAAGATAAATGATGAATAATCACAAAACATACTTCAAAGATTTGGCGTTAGACATATCCTGCGTCTTGGAAAATTTTATTGGCAAAAGTGGACTCTCTCTTTAAAAGAATAAAATCTCTTTGTTTCTTCATTGTTTAAATGAAGAGGTTACAGAAAAAGTATTTGTAGTGCGCCAAATAATAATTATGAAAGAGACGCTTCATTGCATTTAGCATCTGATGTGAAAATTTTATAAAAAGATCAAAACATTTACAAGATGCCTCTACTAAATAATACTAAAAATTAAACTTGGAGCTGTCATTCGACTGTAAACACAAGCAAAAAAACTACTTGACTTGACTAGTCTATCTTGACTTTGCAAAATACTTGTTAGTAACAGGATAGAAAAAAAAAAAAAAAAAACAGAACACTTAGAGTCATCTTTGATGCTTAAATTCAAGACTTTGAAATCATGGTCTGAGATGGTTGTCATGACTAATCCTTCTCATATAATTTAAAAGGATCGTAAACGATTTATTCATTCTTTCTTTTTCATCCAATTTGTCAAAAGAGGTCTTGCAAAACTGACAGAACCTCCGCTGGCTACTTGGAGGAGTGTCCTAAGAATGATCTTAATTGATATTATATTCAAGAGAAGATCATCCTAGATAATAAAGGCTAATAACCTACAATGTTTTCTCAAAATTGACCAGTAACATTTTTCATGTGCACTTGCTTTTGGAATGGGAATATTTTGAAACGATGATACACTGTACGTCTTAGATCGAAGATAGACACTCATTGCACAAAACATGAAAGCAACGAAGATAACAATTTTTAAAGAAAAACTCAGATGACATCAATTCCATTGAAAATGCGTGCAAACTATGGAGCATTAAACAAACAACTTCATACTTTGATTGTGAATTGACATTATCAGCAGGGTTTACTTTAGATTCAAAGGTGTATACTCATTAACTCGCAGCCCAAGGGTGCAAAATGCACTTGCACGAAAACTTAATCCACTTTGCACTTTATGCTGGAAGTGCATCAAAGTAATAGGATAGAAGAAAAACAAAGTCCTGACAAACATCGTTTGAGAGTCATCTTCGGAACTGAAAAGAAAGAATTAATTAGTGTTCCTGAAAGAAATACAGAAGATATGGTTAAGGGAGAGTGAGGATATGGAGAGAGACTTGCCTGATCGCGCCGCTGTGACTTTTCTTCTTTTTCTCGTTTCCGTACTTCTAGTAAGTATTCATTGAAAAGGCCTTCCCTTTCCCGCATTTTTTCTAGGTTTTTGAACCGCTCATCTCTGCTGAACTTCTGTGCAAAATCGGCGAAAGATGACCTGGAAAATTAGGAAGACAAATGAGTGAAATAGAAGACTAAAAATACCATGGCGATACACTTTCTTCATTAATTTTCATTTTTTGAATTCCTTCAAAACTAATTTTTAGGTTTTTCTTCTCTACCTGAATAAGTAAAGTGCTGGTTACAATAAGGAATTTAAAAACACGAAAACGGTGAGAGAATTTCTTTCCATTTATAAGAAAATGATTGCAGCATGGCACAGACATAGGAAACAAAAGAGATTATGGAGCATCTTGCGGGAACAATCCTGCAGCTATGCTTTAGAAATTGCTTTTATATTTCAGCAGAAAATAAATACATGAAGAAATTATCAGAAGGAAGTTTTAATATAAAATTTCAAAAAATACCGAGTTATACCGTGCAGTTTTCTCTTGGAAAATAAGATGATAACTACAACTCAGAGCCCTTACAAAGGGTTCAGATAATGTGAATTTAAAAGATTTTCATCTAGACAAGTTGGTGCCTGACTAGTAACTTACTTTCCGTGTAAGTTGGCTTCTTCCATCAGTTTCCGGAATTGGTCCTTACGTTCCTTCATCTTGTTCCGCTTCTCTTTCCTTTCTTCTTCAGCTCGCTCTTTTACATACTTCTCGAAGACCTGTTTGCGTTCCTTTGACGTCAAAAGTAGATATCTGGGGTCAAACACAATCTTGTGAAGTTCTTTTTCCCATGTGCTAAAAGCTGAAACCTGAAAAAGGAGCAGAACTTTTATAACACAGTAAAAGGATGGTACACTGTGAACAAAATTTACTCCTTTCTCCCTTTTAAAAGACTAATGTGAAGATGAGCTACCAGAGTACAATAATGCACACAGCTTTTAGGCAATACGTTGCTGACTTCCAATATAAATTGAAAAATATATTCCAGAGGCGTATCTGGAGGAAAAAAGGCTTATGTAATTATATAAGTGGTTGCCACCAATGACAGTAGCACTGCCATATTAACCAATAAAATGCAAAAACACATATCTTGGCCTGCAGCACTACAGATTTCCTGTCAAAACTTTATTTTTAAATGGAAAAATGCTCGAAGTCATTTATTGAGTACTTTCCTTACTTTTTTACTGCTTTGTGAGAAATATTCTTCAAAAATGTTTTGGCAACAGTGTTGGTTCATTTTCCTGTCGTAAATTAAAAAGGGAAGATTTTGAAACACAGCAAATGAGATACATATTTTTGCGGTTTCCAAATCTTTTCCAAAATATGAGACACCCAATCAGCAGAAAGGGGGAAAAATTACAATAAAAATTTTTGAAAATTTTCAAAAAGATTCCCAGTTATCAGAAATCAAAGATTTGTCACAGACAACTGGACTAATACAGCAAAATGCAAGAAGTAAGAGGAAAAAAATGATCATGGAAAAAAATAATTTACAGTCTTTACCTCCTTTTCCGTCAACATTTCTCTGAATGAATTTATTCGAATTTCAAGTGGAACGATGGCTCTTTCCCTTGCAGCCCTAACTTCTGCCTCCATTGCTGCCTCCTTACCAATATCTATTTGTTTCTTCTCGACTTTAGTTTCTTCTTCTATAAAAAACAACACAGAATAACGGTTAATATGAAAAATTCAATGATAGCATTAAATAATCTGAGACAAAATAAAAGTTGGATTTATGACGATTAGAAAGAATTAATCAAGATTGCTTGACTTGAGATCGTATTGGAAAAAATTAAATTGCTGATTGCTGAGATTTTACAACAAAAAAATGCTACTTTAACCACCCCCATGGTTAAATTAGCATTTTTTTGTTGTAAAATTTACGTTGAAACATTGCAGTCACTTTTTTTAGCAATTGAATTGTTAAATCAGCAATTTAATTTTTTCCGTGAGTTCAAGAATCACATGAATTCACTTTTATGGATACTAAACACTAGGAGGTAATAAATTTAAAGGCCTAGCGATGATTTCAAAATGAACTTCTGTGAAAACCCTAAAAGCAGTCTCCCGCTCACGATTTTTCAACTGACCAAATCCAATTTTTTGCAATTGTGAACTTTTTTTTTTTAATGATATGAGTTCTGAAGTATTCGGAGTATTCACTCTAATTTCTCTTTCATCACATTGATACTCAAGAAATTTTTTCAATAACCTGTTTTTTTGGTGAGTATTAGGAAGAAGCAAGCATTACACTCTTGACTTGCGGATAATGATAATTCTATAAAATTGCATGCAAGTCAAATGATGAAAATAGGACAATTACAACCTCCAGTTTAATAAACAGCGATTGCAAGCCATGAAACCGCAATCAAAATACTGAAAACAGGGGAGCAATCTCACCTTTGACGGCTGCTGTCTCCAATTTTGGTTTCTTGGCGGCTGAACTGTCTAAATCGGCTTCATGTTCTCTTTTCACAGCTTCTTTGTTTTCTGTGGCAGCAGTTGTGCTGACCACCTCTGGTGGAGTTGAGACCAATTTGTCAACATCGGGACGATTTTGGAGATCTTCTGGCCGTTCCCAAACGGAGGTTCGAGATGATGGGTTATAAAAGAAAACCCTGCCATCACCGGTCCAAACAACACACCTGAAACAGAATGAAAACCATCATAACTCCATATTTGCAGATACATTGCAGAAGAAATGTAAAAAAGACCAGATTCCGATACACACCATATAAAAAATTTGTTTCTGCTAATCCCTACTTCTGCAACAAAACTCCTTGGTTGCTCATCCAACACATAAAAACAAGATTGAGTTCACATTTCTTGGTGCATGCTATCATTTAAGTGCCGACAAGAAAATCAAAGAACTACTTTTCAGGCCTTGAAACAAATTATGAAAGTACAAAAGAACAATGTATCATACCCAAATTTTGAAAAAACACAACTGCACAGATTGCATGAGCGAAAGAATTAGATCATGTTGTGAAAGTAGAAACTCACCGCCTGATAAATGTTACCACCAATCAGGAATTAAAAAAATTTCAAGGTTGAGAAGCAAAGAAGTTGTTTCTAATACTTTAAGAGACAAGTAGATGACAGACAAATCTTTGGATCATTATTGCAGCACTTTCTTGTGGAATTCCACTTGAGACAAGTAAGTCGTTTTTTTCATAGCACAAGGTAACTTATTGCTGTTCAGTTGCGTTTGCTTACAAGATGAGATTAGCTGCACCATTTCTTAGGCAGTGAATAAAGACCTACATTAAAAAAAATGACTGGTGAGACTTCAACCATGAAAATTACAAAAAAAGTTTTCAAGACTCACCAAGGGGTTCCAGGAATTGGTGTGCTTGAAACAGGCTTCGAACGGTCCTGTGCCTTCTGTGCTTCCTTTGCTTTTTCCTCTTCTTCATTCTTCTTAGCACTTGCTTCATCCACAGCCCCCGTTGATGTTGCCGTTGCTGAGCTGTTGAATGCGTTACCAGTGCTGGTAGAGTGTTCCCACTCTTTTTTATGACTCTCGCTATCACTGTTGCTGTCATCGCGGTGGTCATCACCATCGTCGTGGTCATCTTTCAGCCGCCCGTTCATCAAGGCTGGTTTGGTTTCCTCAATCGCAGGACTGGATGTAACATCATTTACTTTCACGCCTGAGTTTAAGCTTGCTGACCCTGTTATGACAGCGCTGCTGGAGACTGAGATGCCCTGCGCAGCGGCAAGCTTGGCAGCTGAAACGAAGACAAAATATTTGATTGTGCAGAAATGGTGAAATGGCTGAAAAGCACTCAGCTCACTTCCTAATTATGGAGGACTGAAAGTATGAAGCGAGACCAATAATAGGGTGTGATAGTATGAGTCTGATTAGAGCTTAGGGGTACAATCATAGAAAGAAAAGAAAATCCCCAAGATCAATGTTCGAATTTGACAAGTGCCATTCGCAAAATTCGCCTAAATAATTGAAGTTGTGGCCTAAATTGGTACTTCAATGTTCGCGGTTACCTAGATATGAAAATGCTGAAACCTAGGCAAACTTCCTTGATTCATACTTGGAATTAATTGAATAAAGGAAAGCTGTGAAAATGATTTATCATTTAGAAAAAGCCAGATTCCAAGGTGCATAAAGACATCCAGTTCTTATTGTGAATTATTTAAGAAAAAACTCTGTCAGCCCCTGATTTTATAGTAGTAAGATTTGAAAACTGTCCCAGATGATCGGATATGTTTCAGGGTTTAAATACGAACCTCATTGTTCAAAGGTGGGCATGGGACCATAAGATGTAATTTCCCTTGTCTTGGAATACAGTGATTTAGTGGAAAGAAATTTTAGTTTAAATTTGTAAGATTTTAGAGTGAACTGCACAACTGAGAAGCACAGAGTAACTGGTTCAAGAATGAATGAAAGGACAGAGAAAACGATTTCCTGTTTGGGTGCTGACTCATCAGAAAACTGTCTTAAATTACACTTTGCAGATCAGCTACTGTTCCTCAGTCATGTACAGCTCTTTTTTCAGCTGACACAGCTAAAGCAGGTCCTGTACCTGGGCCGTACATAGAAATAAACAGTATTTTCCCGGAGTTTATTTTTTTTTTTTCAATAAAGCTAATTTTGCTAATTTTCCTAGGTAATTTCGATAATTTTCCTAGCTGGTTTTAACTGAAAAGTTGAGGGCAAAAAACCGTTTTTGATAAGGGAATACACCGGAACACTACAAAAATTTTCAAACACACTTTTTGTTTTGAAGTTAGGCTTTTCAGGATTGGAAAATCAATTTGTGGTATTTTCAGAATAACTTAAATTCTCATTGAATCGTTCATGACCTCAAAAAGCAAATTATGGTGGTCTCAATGATCACTGGACCTATTTTAGACATAGGATTCTACTTACTTTCTAGATCTTTCAGGGCTTGTGGTTTCTCCCAGACAGATGAGCCAAGTTTGGCATTGAAATAATAGAAACGCCCGTCGGGGGCTTTGTGTTCCGTCCATTCAGCTGCTCTCGCTAAAATTTCCGGATCGATCTGTGGGAAACAAATTCAAAATTGAAATGAAATCAATGATTTAAGATAATGAATTTACAAATTAGAAGTATTAATTTGACTAATTCACTTCAACTGTGAAAAGTTATTAGCTTAATGGGAAAATAATTTAACCTAGAAAAAAACTGTTTTTACTTGACATTTTGTAAAACGTACAAAGGCCTTTTTCCTCAAGTTTTGCTTACTTTCAGTAATTTGCTGAGAGAGAATCTGTGATTGCCTGATACCTTGCACCATTTTCATAGAACAACAGTGCAACAGCTGAACTACATTTTGCAATGAGAAACTACTACCTACTTCTGGCTCATTTTAGAGACAACACATCGTTGTCTCCTGCACAAAGAAAATTATCTTGTCTCCATTGATCCAGTATTTTTACAGTCATTTTATTTTTTCATGTAAGAACCATCACATGTATTTTTCTTAGTATTTTGGTATTTTGTTACACGAGTGTACATTTCAGGCAAATACAAGTAGTACTAGAGAAATAAAATGTAAATAGGAAATAGTGAAACAGCATAAGTCTTTTAGTTATTACGAAAATTAAAGGAAATTCTGTTAAAATCGAAGAGTCATACGTTCTAGCGATAACATTCTTCTTCCTATTGCCACTGAAAAGGACATGAGTAGTAATTTCTGAAGCTCTGTAACTTGATCCTACAAAAAGGTAGGGTTCAGCAAAATGACCTTGATTCGACCGATCCTGAGTGATCTCTCTCGGCAGTTGCAGACATCTCCCTCCCAACATGAACTATCTCTCTCGCACTCACAGGCATCCCATAAAAGAAACTAGGATTAATTTTCAGCTGTTATTATTAAACTTTCAAACCGCATGTTTAGTTTAAAACATTCCAGATACATGCTGCTAGAACCGTTGCCTACGAGAATGGAGAAGCCGTAACTACTCGGTTTTGTGACGTCAAACTAGTAGAGTAATCGCCTTGTTAACCAATCAGAGCTGTCGTCGATCAGCTGAAGTTGCATGAGCGGCGCGTTTGAATCTAAGTGGGGTAATGATTTTTGGTATTTAGTCGTGATTAGTTTTTATTTCCTCAATTATCAGACTATGTGATTTATGAACTAGGCAGTTTTCTGCTGTGAAATTTCATCTTCTTTCGAAAAGATTCTTATGAATTTTTGCATCAGATCAGCCCCTGAAAAGATGTTGGCACAAAAGGAACATGTGTCATGCACAAGAGAACACCCATAAGAACACAAGTTAAATCGCGGCCGAGTTTCATCTACTAGCGTGACGTCACAGAATCGTAGATACAGCCTCTCTATTTTCGTAGGCAATGTTGGAACTTAAGAGTCTTGGAATTTCGTATATATGTGGTCATATTAAAATAATCACTGATTTTGGAGCCACATTTTTGCCGCATGACGTGGTGGATTTTTTCAATGCTGAAGATTCATTTCAAATAGATTGAGCATGTCAAGACTATTACCTGACTAGATGGGGCAGCAACAGCTGCTGCCGGTGCTTCATTAGGAACAGCATTCGCCTGCGCTGCGACAGGGTTCATCACAGGTTGTCCAGAGATAGGTTGGGCTGTGGGAGGTGTCATACCCCAGCCTGGATACTGGCCTGGACCTGGGCCAGGCCCGCCAAAACCTGGGGGTGGCATTCCGAAAGGCGGTGGACCCCCGAATGGTGCGGGGGCTCCGAACGGTGTCATCCCCGGAGGAGGTCCTTGGATTTGTGCTGAAAATGTATACATCAAAGGCAAATTATTCTCTGATCAACAATTTTTAGGGCAGTTGATTTCTGACTCTGTAACTCTTGTCAACTCTTATGTTTATGGTTGGCCTGGCGTCTCCAACTCGTCTGGATAACTGATTGTTGGCTCCTCGCCCACCCCTATTCCCCGTTTAGGTCAATCACCTGAACCTGGGTGGAGTTTCGGATGGTCCCAAAGGGACATATTTGGCCGAATTCACCCTCGTCCCCTAAATGGATAGAAAAAAAGAGAAAAATTGTTGATGGTGACTATTCAGATAAATGGTGAGATTTGTCTAGGTCATTTTCAAACTTTATTTGACAATGTTTTGAGGGTTTTTGATTTTTCAGAATTATTTTACCTACATCACATGTAATAAAAAAATGCAGACAGACTCAATCGTAAAAGCTAGATTAGAACATCTGATTGAGCCAAAAGGTTGAAAACAGACTTTTAAATTTTTCAAGCATGATACACACCTGTATGTCCTTCTTTCTCTTTTTCCTCTCACTTCCTTCCTTTTCTCAGTTAATACATAGATAACGTACGCAAGACAGATTTGGAAATCAGATTTACAAAGGAGGTGGTTCAACCGTGTTCGAACCATTACTTTCCAAAAAAAAGAAATTTTAATTAACTGCCTGCACTGGTTTAAACTGTGCGAATTGTTTACTACGCTTATATTCCATTGTGAGAGATCAGTTTATGTTCGATACAGCAAAGGATAATTCAAAAGATTGAGCTATGGAGGAGCGAAACTTACATTCCTTCGATTGTAATATTTATAAAAAATAAAACAGCGACTTACAAAAATCAGAGTCAGATGATTGGTTGGTTGTGGAGTTGTTGAGATCATCAGGTTTTGTTGCATCTCCACTCTCTGTGGTAGCAGCGGCTCCGATTGTGCCTGTTTGCCCTGTCATTCTGGCAGCTTGAGCCATTTGTTCCACCTACCAAAAAAAAAAAAAAGAATTAAAATAAAAATAAAACGTAATAATAAATTTAGGAGGCTAGAGGCCAATCATGAAATACATAACGCTCTGGAGGGGGGGAGGTGTCAAGGAGAGTTTTATACAATTTCTTTTTAAGTGTGAAAGGAGAGGGATTACCAAAGTGTTACAAAGGGGAAGAGGTTGAAACATCCGAAACTAGGCGGTGCATACTTTATGAACAGCCCCCCATCAGAATAAAGAAAGGGAAAAGAATGAGAAAAACTGGTGGGCATATGCCATTATACATGGAGATAGTGGCGTAGAAATAATCATGAAGCACAGAAACAATCTTTCAATAAAGCGAAAAAGGACAAAAAGTATAATATATCTCTTTGCAATCAAATTATTCTTCAGTGGAATTTTTCTGTGGTACATTCAGGTACTCTAGCATAATCATTAAAACGATTCTACCACACTCAGGTGAAAAACAGAGTCAGCATAAAAATGAGCCACTATAGACCTCTGACAGAGAGAAGAGAATTAAGGTCTTAAATAGTTTGGGAATGTCCTTGTAGAGGAGAAGCAGCACATCATTTGGACTGCATTTTGCAATTTGGAACTATAAATTCTGGCTCTTCTGGAAAAACACTTATGTGCATAGGGAAACTAATGGCACATACGTTGTTTTTAAACCGGGCTAGAGTTTATAGTTCCAAATTGCAAAGTGCAGTCCATTTCATCACTTGTCAAATCGAAGTTTTTTGTAGACAGTTTGCCACTTGAGCATAGCCTTTAATGCTGTTTAATTGACTGTGTGTCAAAACTTGAAAAAATAGGGTTCTGACAGTTCCATATTTGTACAATTTACCTTGTTTAGGAGGGAAAACAGAAAATTAAAATGGCTGCTGTTTATAAAATTTTGAGGAACTAATTTGAAGCTTGCTTCTTACCCTGTTTCAAATATGGATTAACATCTTTGTCAAGTATAGTGTTAGTGCAACGGAACCTGAGGCACACTATGCTGATCAAAATTTTAGCGTCACATAAACAAATATAAACAAATTAGAGGATGCGAAAGGCACAGTGCTTAAGAAGCACTAAAAGGCGGACGTCGCCAGATTCCACTACTTTAAATACGTAATTATCCGCCAATGCTGGGAAGGGTGACTAAGAAAAATTGAAGGTTTCCATGCTGAATTGTCCTTATTCTGTGAAAGCATAGACTGATGAACAACTCCCGAAGTGTTCTCTTTAAACCGCTTATCATTGCTACACAATCAGCTCAACTATTGGACATGTCATTTTTATGACAGTTAATTAGTAGATTTAGGTGGTTATTCCTTGAACAATTAACTAACATTACGACCAAACTACACAGTAGCCACATTATTGAGCAAAATGTGTATCAAATACAAAAATTTTGGGTTCATATTCATTCTAGAGATTTTTAATTGAAGCACGGCAAAAATGCAAAAGAAATAGAGAGGATATTGTCGTAGGCATAAAAGATATAACTGTTGCTGAAGTGATACATAGCATGCCACGTTAGACATATTCACACTGGTGAGACTGATACCACTTTTGCTGAATTCAAGGAAACATTTTGCGAAATCTTGGGTCTACATTTCTGCCGTGACAGCGATGAGAGCAGTGACTGCAAAAATGAAGTTTTGAAAAAACAGGCTCAGAGGCGTCTGACCAGAAAATTTTATTAAAAACAGGTTGCACTTTTTTACTTTTCTCAGTTGCTAGTCACCCTGCTAAAAGAACGGACGGAACACCAAAGCATTACCTGCTCTTGTGATATGATTTTCACTTCTCCTCCTTCAGGTTTTGTCCATGTGGTTTCCCTGGTCCTGGCATTGTAGTAGTAAGATTTCCCCTCACCACTTTTGGTTTCAACCCAGATTTCTCCGCTGAAATCAAGCTCACTCATTCCGCTCATTCCATTGGGAGCCATCGACATTGCGCCGCCTGGAGGGGGCATGTTCATTGGCGGCATTCCGCCCATTGGAGGTTGCCCCATGTTTGGAGGGGGCATACCCATGTTCGGCGGTGGCATTCGATTCATTGGTCCTCCCATCATTCCAGGTCCGTTCATTGGTGGAGGACCGCCAGGCTGCAAAGAAATAGTGATTTTAAATAAGGACAATTTAATACAAATAAGCTTGAGACTGATCAATGCGTGATAACTTTGAATGAGGATCTAATATTTTCCAAAAAATCACCATTAACCAACTCCTTCAAAAAGGGTTACAAGAAGAAAATTCAGTACTAGGAAGAAAAAATTATTAGGGCAGAGTAAAAAAAGTACCTTGAAAGTGCAAGAGTATGCAGTACAAATTTCACACTGCAAAGGTATTAACTGATATAATGCTTCTTTTTTTCTTTTTTTTTAAGAAAACATGCGTATTGTGGGTCAAGGGCAATGCAAATGCAGGACATTCACTGATACTCGAGGACATTATGAATAAAATATCAAAGTGTTTGACGATCAGAACCAAAAACTTTCAGAGTTCTGCATACACTTGAAACTTACTTTTTCCTCCTTCCTATATTAAAAACTGAAGTGTTCCATAAATATAAATGTTCTGCTCATCCTACGGTAGATCACTTGCTGACAGTTGAGGACTTGGGTTCAAAAAAGGACACTTCTCAGTTCCACCGTTTCACAATTTCCCTGAGCTATGGAACTTCCAAGCCTTCCTTCGATTTTAATTGGCCTTCCATTTGGCCATTGGCCTCATTGGGAATTCATTTGAGTCGAAGTAAGAGTAAAGTCTCCTTTGCGCTCAGAGGTGAGGTTCTTTCCAGCATTAAAAATAAAGTGACTTTAAGTTAGTGGGATATCGGTAAAATATAAATTGAAATTACCCCCATCATTCCAGGTGGCGGTCCGCCTGGTCCTCCTTGAGGTCCCATTCCAGGAGGTGGTCCGAATGGAGGACCCATGCCCATGGGTCCTTGCCCGTTGTTCATCATCATATGATTAGGCGGCGGCTGCAAAAAATGGAAAATGCATGAGTGATAACGAAAGTTTGAAAAAGAAACGACATACTTAAAGTTGAAATACATTAATTCTAGGGCAAAGAATCATAAGATGTGACTATTTTTTTTGATAGGTTGCCCTTGGTTTTAAATTACGGGATTAATTACGTTTTATTTTACTTTGTTTTTTTAAGTCACATTTTGTCCTCATTTCCATAGCTTCGTCAGCACAGTTGCTAATAGAATGGAAAAGCAAGACCGTTAATTTTAGGCGATTATGAATGAATAACGCCATTATTTAAAAATGATTAGGTAACAAACTAAGGCATTAGGTAAACCAAACGTTTCGATTTTTTACCTGATAATTTTTACACCAGTTAATGTGTAAAACCTTTAACTTGGCAGACTTGGCCATTTAGATCTGGGCTTTTGGGGAGAAATCAAATTCTGTTTCGCCTAACAATTGAAACTTTTCCACACCAATGCATAAAATTCCTATTTTGCTTGAGTCTTACCAATTGTTAGGGGGCTGGGCTTATTAAGTTGAAAACATATTTAGCACGAGGTTGCAAGAGTGTCATAAAATTTTGTTCTATGACAATCCATAAAAATCGGAACGTGCTATGAGCAGGTTCCAGACATTGTTGGAACTGGGGGAAGAGAAGATCGGACAAAAGTCGCATCATCCTGAATGCATCAATCATCAGTCAGCCTACTAGTTAGCACATAAATTTCTGTTGAATGGCATCATTTTCTGATGTGACTTTGGTCCAATCTTTTCTTTCCCCAGTTCTACCAATTGTTACAGTGTTTAAAACCTAATTTTTCTCAACTGCACTCTCACTGGTTGCTCTTTGGTCGTAAAAATATGACACAAAAAGTAATTTTTCTACTGCAATGCAGAGTGGAAGTTTTAAAACTAAGACCAAATTAACAATCTAATAAAGATTTGTTACTTACACACATGCCAGGTCCTCCAGGACCCATCATTCCTGGTGGTGGAGGTCCCCAATTCGGTGGACCATCCCAGTTAGGAGGTCCACCTCGAAATCTTGGTCCTCTGGGGCCGAAGGGTCCTCCTGGGCCACCTCGAAAACCAGGTCCTCTTGGTCCAAAGCCTCGACCACGGAATCCTCCACGAAAGTCACCACGTCCTCTGTGCATACCTCGACCACGAGCCCTGAAACAAGAGAGAAAATTAACATTTTTACGAACTCACAGAATCTTTCTCTCATTAAAATTGGCAGCAATGTCATTAGCAACTATAGGAACTTTTATCTTCACATTACTAGTCTGAGCCTTTAGAATTTGATCATTTTATAGGCCATGGATAAAAATTTAAAATGAAGAAATGCCATAGAAATATTATAGGTAGGTATCTTTGTTTTATAAGAGAAAAGAATGCATGAAAAGCTCAAGCTCTTTTCATGAGCAACAAATTCTTTAGAGTTACTTAATTTGACCTTTGAAATCACCATTGTTCAGGACAGACTCAATTATCAAAGTCTATTTAAAGCAACTAGTAGAACCTTCCTAAACCTGTCTCGGATCGCTGATGGTTATTATAAAATCTACCGATGGTGTTACCACTAAAGGTGATAAATCTCCATTGACAAATCATTTTGTGAACAAAGTTAACTAAACAGATGAATTGCTCATGGTTAAGAAAAAAGAAAAACCTGAATTACAAACTCTATAGTGGCATGGCATAGGTTAACATATGGCAAAGGCGTTCTGTGATACAGATTAACAGGGACATATGAACTCTTGGCCTTCCCATTTAGTAAACTCTTTCTTTTCCTTGGGAATTTCAATGAATTCCACAGCCCAAGTATCAAAGAGCCACAAATACTTTCGTGGCTCTTCAAATACCTACGAGTAACTGCGTGAATGCAAAAAATGTGTGATCTGTATTAAAAAATTCCATAATTTTAACCAGCCTTTGTGTATCTAAAATCTGTTTTCGCAACCTTCCTTTAATGAAATGCAACTAATCGCGACATGGGTCGCATTGAAATTAAGTTCTTGCATCCGTGCAGATTAGTACCACTGCTACAGGGGTGCAGAATCTTCCAACCTTCCACATTTTCAAGCACCTGCCAGCCGGCTTTCCACAAAATACCCCACCAATCCATAAAAAGATGACATATTTCTACTGTTTTCTAATGATTTTCAACTTTAAGCTCCTCAAAATGTTCCCTCCCTCCACATTTTCAAGCGCCCGCCCGGGCGTGTGATAGGGCATTTTCAGCACCCCTGCACTGCTAAATTGTTACCCTCCTTTACAAAGCAAAGGCCATGAGCTAGTCAAAATATCGAACCAATGGTGACTAGATATTCGGAAAATAATGCCAATCAGATGCCTACATGCTAGAGTCGACGCCAAGTAAGTTTACGCACTCTTGGACCGCGACGGAAGATCCGCAATCTTGCTTTCTGCAATCTTTACATGTAAAAGTAGCGTCAGACAAACTTCTGACGCAGTCTGGAAGTGCGTAGACTTATATGGCGTCGATTCCGCTCTATATACTACGATTAAATGCTTCATCACAAGGCGCACGATAGGCTTCGATAGCTACGCATATGTTTGACGGAGGAGAAAATTCTCCTACCTCAAATGAAATGCAAAGCGAATTAGATCCCAGAGGCCAGATAAAAGCCGGAAGAGCGTGCATTTACATATTCAAATTGGAAACATACCTGAAGCCGCCCCGGCCTCGGCCCCGCATGGGGAACCGCCGAAACTCGAAGTCGCCATCGTCGGGGGGGCCATGGTCCCCGTAGTCATCATCATCCCCGTCATCACCGTCATTGTAGTTCATCTCTTCATTGTCCCCTTCTTCGTCATACTCCTCGTCCTCAAAATCTCCCTTACCACGGGTCATTGCGCGGAATACAAAGGATAATCGGTGGTATCAAAACGCGACGGCATACACACACACACCAACAACACAGAACTCGATGATTTCGGAAATTTCTGCCCACTGATGGGTAACTGATACTTTAACACTTAACTTCTGGTATTGATAATGGGAATTATAGTTAGTTTAGGGTTGATTTACACTGATTAAACGCAAAAAAATGATGAAGTTAGTGGCCTGATGTAAAGCCGATCGAGGAAATCAAGTGGACATAAATCGAGCAATCACATTTGGTGCATGAGAGAGTTCGGAGGTTCTTTTGCGATATATCGATGATTTGCTTTTGGGGACTATGGGAAAAGATCGATAGATAGAGTGATCGCAACGAACGACTTGTGAAAATCGATTCTTTACCATAGCCTCTAACGGGGAAATATCGATATTCTTTCATCTGTGATCTCTACAGTGGTAATTACTCAGCGTTGCCTAAGTTCTAATAAAAATCTAATAAACATAGCGCCTAATAAGGCAACAATGCTTTTAGGGAGAAGAAGAAGAACCACCAAAAATATGGCATGCATTTTGCATGTATGTGTGTCTTGTGCCATGTGCTAGAGCCTGGTTTAGTAATTATTTAGTGAAATATACTTCTTTTCTGGCTTGTGATTTAGATATTAGCTCCCAAACATGATTACGGACTTTCGGACAATCGATATTGTCGATAAAGCCTTCAAGGAAGTTGCTGCTAAAAAGGAAAAGTTCAAGCCGACCACCGTCTTCAAACTTCTACCCCTAGAAACCGATGTTGGCACATTATTAGCAGTGGATCCTAATGACTTAAATTCCGAAGAATTACGGTACGTATAGTTCTATTGCACGTCTGGTTACAATTTTGGACAGTTCTATCAATATTATTGGACTGAAGTGAGGACTAACAAAATCTTATTGTTACTTCTTGAAATAGCAACAACTTGGTTGCATCGTATAGGTTTTCCCAAGCGTTGCCAGACGCTTATTGGAAACTTTAATGAATATAAGCAAACAGAAAAATATGAATTGACATAGGAGCTAGTAATCATTAGTTTACTCTAATGCCCAGCTATTTTTTTACAGAAATAACAGAGAAGACTACTTGAAGGAACTTGCTCGAGACAACACACAGTTATTGTTGAATGAGGTCTGGGAACTACCTTCCGAAAGAGTTGATGATGTTATCGTGGCCAAGCTACCCAAACCGAAATATCTCCTGCCCCGAGAGTTACCCGTCCCTAAACCCAAGCCCCTGACAAAATACCAACAATATGCCCTGAAGAAAGGACTGCCCTTGAAGAAAACGAAAAAACACAAAATGAACGTCACCTGGGATGAGATATTGAAGGTAATATTTTTCTTGCTTGTTTCAGTGTCAGACATCACAAAGTTTTCAAGACTGTGTCATTAGTTCGGAATAGTGCCAGTTCAGTTTGGTACAGGTTCCAAGGATTCGATTATTGAAACTATATTAGCACGACAAGACAGAGCCGACAGTCTTAACGATGCAATACATCGAATTTCGATGTCTTAAAAGGCTGCTGTACTTAGTCTTTCATTATTTGGTCCGCAGATAGAGCTCTTGAAAATTGTCTGTGCTTACAGAGGGAACTTCAAATCATCTTATCACTCTGAGGATAATTTTTTGATCACTAAAGTGCTGATTTTTTTTTTTTAACAAATCCCTTGGCCAAGCAAGAAAATAATTTGATCTCCTTATAGTTTTTATCTAAATTCTTTATGTTAATTACTACAAATTTTCTGCTGTCTTAAATGTGGAAATCACGCAAGCAGAAAATAATTTTTGATCATTTATTGAAATTTGCACAATCAAGTTATGCCTCCCAGTTGTTTTTCAGCCGCAAAGAGTAACCTCTGTAGGTATGATTATTAAGAAAATATGATCTCAGCATTACAGAGAGATTGATAAGAACTTTGAGAATTGGAATTTACCCTTAATTTTGAATCTTATTTCAGAAATGGGTCCCTAACTATGGTTACAAGCATGCACAAGCTGAGAAGGAAAGAGAAACTGTGATCGAGGTTCCAGACAATGTGGATCCAATGACTGATATGTTCGCTAAAAAAGAGGCGGAGAAACGAGAAAGAGTCTCCAAAAATGAATTCCAGAGGTTACGAAATATCGCAAGGGCGGCAAACATCAAAGTTCCCCATGTTGGAGTGCCAGCCGTTGAGTCACGTCTAAAGCCAGATCAGGTATATTATTATTCTGTTTCTTTTCGTTTTCAACCAAGGTAAATCATATATATTGTCGGTCACCTGCTGTGTAGGGGGTTTTAGCGCCGAACCTATGATCGAAAGGTCCTGGGTTTGACTCCCTACCATGTGGCTTGAGTTTGATGGTCTCAAAAGATGGATATATGGGGCTGGGTGTAATGAAACTGGGGGATAAGCGTCAGATGAACAAGGGCTATTTGAAAATTGGTTAAATGAAAATAGAGTTTGTAAGCTGCTTGGGTTGAAATTGAAAAGTATCAAGAAGAAAAGACTTGAGGTCTATCTGCCTTTTTTTTTTTTATTTTTTTAATTTTTTTTTTTAACAAATTGGATTATAATTCTTTATATATATGAAGCTCAATTCTTGTGCTTTGATTTTTCATCCAACTTCCCCTCCCATTCTATTGAATGGACATTTGGATTAAGCGTCATTTATAAACAAGGGCTGTTTGAAAATTGGTTTAAAGAAAATAGTGTTTGTAAGCGGAGTGGGTTGAAATTTAAAAGTAACACAAGAAGGAAAGACTTGAGGTCTATTCGTTTTTTTTTGTTTTTGTCTTTTTTTTTTTAAATCAAATTATAATGGACCACTAGACAAGGTACAAATTTCAGCATTCTGATACATGTTTCTTAACCAAAATTTCACGCACAACGAAACTTACCGAAATCAACTCCTTGCGAAGATATTTAATGATTCTTGATGCGTGAATTCAAACCACCCACTCATGAAAACTCAATGCTCTGCATGATTCACATCGCGCGTTAAATGTTATCATGACAGTCTCTGCGATATAAAAATCTGGCAACCTCAATCTTGATGCTTTCGTTAAGCTATAGCAAATTACTTATAGTTTGAACAACACATGGTGGGAAATTAACATTGCTCGATTGAGAGGCTTGCTGAAACAGTTGTAGTGCACAATTGGACTCACGTAGAGCTTTGAGTTTCTTGTGAGCGGGCAGTTCAAAATCCGTGTAACCAATGTGAAATAAAAAGGTTAATATCTTCGTTTAGAGTTTGTTTCAGTATTTTTCATTGCGCGAATCGTGTTCTACGTGAAATTCTGGTTGAGAAACATGTATCAGAATGCTTGAATTTGTGCCTTGTCTAGTGGTCCATACTATATATGAGGACTTACCTGTAACAATAGCGGATGTCGAGTTTTTACATTGTGAGAAAATCGTGTTTGAAGTTTTTGAAGCTTTGCACTTTTCCGCCCGTAGAACCGAGAGGATTCTTCTAAAGATTTTCATGAAGAGCAACTCTTCCAGTCAAAAACACACGTTTTACAATATATGTAAGTGAAAAATTGATGGAGTAGTAAAAATGTGACATCCGCTATTTTTACTGCAAACACGTTTTTATGCATGAAATAAAGTTTTCAGGAAGGGTAAGGCTGGTGAAACGATTGAAATGAACCAAAAGTAAGTCAATGCTGAGTCATTTAACAAAAATTGAACAAGTTACTATACCATTTGTAACTTTTAGAATAAAAACAAGGAACAAATCCTAAAATCAGTTAAAAATTCAACAATTCTGGCGAGACGGTCCCGATACATATAATTTGAGTGTCAGCTACAGCCCATGGCCGGTGGGCGGGCATTTATCGCAAGGGGGTCTGAATCTCCAGTGTCCTGCCGCGCCGGCCGGGAAAAACTGTGGATTCTCACATCCGCTGTTTTTACAAATAACGTGTTTTTCAGTTCATATCTCGCCGAAAAATTGTGCTGGAAGTCTGAAACTTTGCACAGGCATTCTTGGAGGCTCTAGATTTCGAAAAAAGCGTTTTCCCTAAAAATGGCGGATGTCAGTGACCGCCATTGTTATATATATGTCCTCATATAACAAGGTGGAGAAATGGCGCTGGGTCCACACCATTTCGTGGGGAAAACAAAGCCAAGAAGTTCCAAAAATTAAAATTAGAGTCAAAATTAATTTTTTGAACTCTAATGCGCACCAGTACAAAACTGAGTTTTGGAATTTCTTAGCTTTGTTTTCCCTGCGAAATGGTGTGGACCCAGCACCAATTCTTCACCTTGTTACATACAGTTTGGGCCACTTCTTAGTGTTTTTTTCTTCATCTGTCCTCATATATGAAGCTCAATTTTTACGACTTGATTTTTCATCCAACTTCTCCCGTTCTATTGAATGGAATTTCTCTCATTCTATTCACACGGTCAAAATTTTCATCTAATAATGTTGGAAGGAAAGTTGATCATGAAGTGGACGTGTCTGAATGGACCACTAGACAAGGTATTAAGTTAAACAGTGATCCATTTTGCTTTACTTGTTTTAGAGTTTACACTGTGACTAAATCAGTCCTCAAAATCTTATTCTATCCGAGAATGAATGAATAAACAAAATGGAACCATCGAGCTGCAGAGTTATAGATAACTTACTCTTGCCCTAAAAAATAAATATCCTCAAGATTGAGATCATTTCTGAAATAACATGGCAAATAAGAACTTTCCGAAGAAAGGAGCCGTAAGACGAAAAATAGTGTTGTCGACCACATTTTTTCTATTTTACGAGTAATTCTGCATACACTGATTATGTTGATTTTTCTGCTGCTCTAGTTGGAACTGGCTGCTGTAGCTTCCAAATCTGCCACAGCATCTGCAGGAGTGTTCCAGCCTTCTATATCCGCTGATAAAACTTTGAAATCTTGGGCCAAACCCCCTGGTGTCCCAAAACAGAAGCTAAAGCCTGTCGTAAGTACTACTTGTATCCTCAGTAATTATCTTCTACAGGTTTCAGCAAACTGTTTTCTTCTTGATGAAGGAAGATAATCACATATTTGACCAAGAATACAAATCTTTCGGAAGGTCCAGTGAAGAAATCATTTTTGTTTACGCTTACTGTTTTATGTATAAAAAGGAGTGAACCAAATTCTAAGGGTACTGAATTTTAAAAAGGCTGAAGGATGTAGGAAGAGTTGAAGACCCTGGTTTTTCCTTTGTTGTAAAGAAGTGTCATGTTTAAACAATTATATGTGAAGCTTTTGCATTTCCTTCTTTCAGAGTGGTAGAGCAGAGAAAGAAATCAATTTAAACATATTAGAAGATGTCATGCGGCATAGAGGCTCTGGTGGTGTCTCAGAAAAAGCAGTGAATAGGCAAATTGCTCAAGAACAAAGACAGTAAGTGCAATTTACTGAGGCATTTTTTTTTCACTAATTAGAAAATATTCCTAAAGGCAGTATCTTAAGGCAGTGTCTTAATGCCTGTGAGTGATTTCTTTTAACATCTTTTTATTTTAGCTTTCTAAAAAAATCGTACTTAGTTTGCTTAAAAAGTATTGCCATTGATTTGTGCACAGTGGCACAAATGAAAGGCCCACAGCCGTGGGCTGTGTAAGGGTTTGTTGCCAAATTTTTTTAAAAATTTAATCCCTCAATCAAGCCGGGGGGGAGGGGATATTATGAGGGGCCTAAGTATATAACCTGCAGGCAGGACAGCGCCTGGTGAGTTACACCACAGCGCCTGTCCAAGCAAACAGTCAAAGTCAGCAAACTGTGACCTGCACATTCTTCAAAAGTAACTTCTAAGCTTCGAGCCAACCAGCTTGAAGCGTATTTGGATACTAATTCCACAAGTTATCGTGCTTTTAAGGTTATGTTTTCAAGACTGCTTGTTGAGGGTCACCATTAACCAATGATATCGCCTGTCAAATATTGTTTCTTTATTTCTGGACAGTTTTTTCAGGAAAAAAAGAAATGCAGAATTTTGCTGCAAGACTCAGAGCCTAAAATTGATCAGCAATAAGTATACTCTTGTGTGTATAATTTTTTCCTGTGTTGAATCAGCATGTTGAAAATGGCGTCACCTGACAACATACTCAATTTTGGGTCAGTTTAGGTGCCAGTAACTGTCAGATTTATACTGAATTTTAAATGGATTTATTTTTGTGTTGATTAGGTAAGATCACATTGTTCCACAAAATGTTTCACAAACATTTTCTCTAGTTCTAGTTGAAATTGTACAAAGATCTCTAACTCTAGTCCTGTAATGAATAAGATTTTCGTCTGTCAATGTTGTCAGGTGCATGCGTGTGACAGTGCATTTTTTCCACAATCATTTTCGCAGAAAAGTACCTTCATTGGTAGCAAGCATAGAGAAAATACAGAAGATGGTGGCAAGGCAGCCATCTTGAAGATTTACTGAGACGTAGAAAAGTACACGGACTGGCGCGCTGTTCAAAAAAAAGTACATTTCATGCATTTCATGATGGAACCTGTGTAAAGACCTACATCACCACTGAAACTAACATCGAAAGTCATATAATTGAATATTAGTTACCATAACTCTCCAATGTCTGTTTTTTTGACGCACAGAAAGTAATTCAACATGGTTATACCTTTAAAACGGGACGAGTCAAGATAAAAGTTGTTATTATATGAAATACATATTTTTAACTTACAAATTATTTTCAGTTGCAGTCGAACATTGATAGAAAAACATATTGAAACATAAAAAGTCATAGTTATGAGTTTTAAGAGCTAAAATAAGTGGGAACCTCACGACCTTTCCCGCTCCCTTTTAAATTTCAAAGAGGTCTCGATTTTTCCGCGATCCTCTTGACCAATCAGAAGGGCAGCTTCATTTTTAGCTGTGACGTAGAAAAGTACATTTCTCCACTTGCCACCACCTTCTGTATTTTCTCTATGGATAGCAAGTTATACATACTTCAATTTACTTCAGTCAATTTGTTAATCATAATTATTCTTTGTTTTTCAGAGTGCATGCTGAAAAAATGAAGTACAGGAAAAAGGGGAGAGGTGGGCGAACTGGAGGCGGTAAAGGTGGTAAAAAAGGCCCCAAAGGTGGCAAAGATTTTGGAGGGAAAGGTGTCAAAGCAGGTAAAGTTGGAAAAGGTGGTAAGAAAGGAAAAGGTAAGAGATAGCCTAATACTGGTCCTGTGGACTGAGTCCATTATTTTTAATTGTAAATACACAATAAAGAATCTTTATGTTTACGTAAAGGCTTTGTTGTTTTAATTTGAATCCAAGAGAGTTGTACTAAAGTTACATATCCTGAAAAAGTCATTTTACAAATTGTAAGGGAGGGGGGGGGGGCTAATCATGAGGCCTCCAATTTTTATGATTTTGAGCACTACCTGATACCACACAAGTTTTTTTGTTTTGGCCAATAAACTCTCTAAACACCTTAAAAAATGCAATGAAAACTTTTTGCTTTCTTTAAGTAGATTTCGAGAATTGTGAGGCTGAAAGGCGATTTTTCTAGCTCTTTTACGTACTCGTATTTTCTTGAAAAAATGTTACATTCCCTTTTTCCACTCTTGGAGTAGTCATGAAAACCAAACAGAGCAATTGGACTATATTTTGCTATTAGAAACTCTAGTCACTGGCTCGGTCAAGAAACAAGGTATGCGTCCTTAGTTTCCCAATGCACTTAAGTGTTTTTACAGATGAGCCAGAAGTTATAGTTCTGATTGAAAAATTGGCGTGTGGCTGTAGTATTAGATAACCGTACTACCATCAGAGACGAAGCTGTTAGGGTGATCGCTCACTGGGCAGCAGTAAGTTTGATTACTGTTGCGGCCGAATGTCCTTTGCTCTGTTTAGTTTTTATTATTACTTTGAGAGTGGAAGTAACGGCAAAACAGGCCGCGCTGAGTCAATAATGGGCGCAACTAGACTTGAAATGCATCTGCAGTTGCCTTCTTCATTGGTTGACGAGAGATGCAAAATTTCATGGAAGTATACAAAATAAAATTTGGTGAGTTGTTCTGAAGCCTCTGCTATGGGCTTAGAATGTCATGTAACTCATAGAATCAGTAAAATCTCAATTTTTGAGAGAACAAATACACTATGGGTCAAATTTCGAAGTTTCCTAAAAAATTTTCAGATAATTGTTCCGGATTACCTACGCAGCCCCTACAACATTGTTGAACTTGCGTGAAAAATGAAATTTCACTTTTCAGCGAAATAATTTCATGTGAAATTTGATTTTGCATCTCTGGTTGTAACTAGTGTTGTATCCAATAGACTACGCAGGAAACCATTCACAGAATGCAATGTTCACTCTTAATGAGAAAATCCCCCCCCCAAAAAAAAAAAAAAAAAAATTCAGAAAAAGCATGGAGATTGCATTAAAACCAAGTGTCTGTCATATTTAACTCAGTCCTTACTTAATTCAAATTATGAGCATATTTTAAAGATTTTTCTTGGCTATAGATCATGACACTTTACAGGAAGAACCGCCAATGGAATGATAAAAGGTTAAGAAATTTAAACGACTTGATTATAACACAAATTCAACAATTTTATTTTTTTTTAGTTATTTAGTTATAAAATATTACACTGACAATGAGAAAAATATAAAAAAAAACTCATCCTTGGCATGATTCTTACTCAATCTACTTCATACTCAAATTAATGGTTGTAAAAGAATAGTTTTCAGATCATACAATTAAAAAATTTAAAATTCATACCTGAGGGCTACTATCTACATCAAACTAAAGAGTAATAAATAGACGACTATCTCTAATGAAAATGGAAATGGCAATGAAGTGAGGCGCTAAGTGCAAGAGGGGGATTTCTTGGTAGCAGTGTTTCAGAATCTCTGCGTGTATTTCACTGAATATTCTTCATGATTCAACTGTGTCCAATCAAAAAATTCTGAAAAAATCATACATTTGATTCTCCTGTAGGATGTAAGTTAACTACAGAACTTCTGAAGTACTGTCACTGAGAAATGCCCCTCCCACATTCAGAGCTTCGATTCATCCTTAGAAGGAGAATCAGTCGGACTTAATGAAGCAAAAGTGATCTGAGTGCATTAAGAGGCTTAGAAAAGTGTTTTCCTCTCTCGAAGGATTATAATTCTGAGAGACGATATTATTCGAATACATGCAACGCAAACAGATCACTTATGTCTCATGACATCAAAATAATTTTAAAAAAATAAAATAGTGAACTCACAAGGTTGATGGTACAAAATGAATAAAAACACTTGACGCACATGATACGTAATACATAATTTTCTTGATGTGGGGATGTTCTTGAATTTGAAAGTTGACAAACGGCGTTGTGAAAACTTGAACAATAGCAGCAGATCTTTCATGTTCTCAGTTTCATTGCAACAGTCAGGGCCTTGAGCAGGAGAAAACTGACAATGAGAGGGTCTAAACCCACAAGCCAGAGCAAAGCATAATTCGGATGGGGTTGGCCAGAATGAGCTCGCAACTGCATCAAACAATGCCTCATTTTCTCTCATGTTTTGTTTCATGAACAGAAAACTTGGCAACACGGAAACTTAAAATTTGTTGAGTATATTCTTTACAATATAATACAGGGTAAATTCATAGAGAGTTTAAAGAAGTTAAGTATTTCAGTTTGCCGATAAAAAAATAATGTATGAGAGAAAATTAGGTAGCGTGAAATGCAGTTGGAAACGCATTGAAACTCCGTCCATTTCTCCCTCACATAATTTCCTTTAATAATAAGAGCTTGATACTCAATTGATAAACAATTTTGCCATTCCTTAAAGTCAAACAATAAGTATTTTGAAATATCACTAGGAGTAAGGAGTTACATCATGCCAAATATTCTGTAAGTAAGAATAACCCAAATCAAGAAAGTCAATGTATGAGATCTAATATATGCTCAAAAGAACCAAACTGTATTACAGAGACTATTAATAAAGGCAATGGTTATAAGCTGGAGAGTAACAGGAATTAAATTCTCGATGCCGATGTAAAAAATTGAAAATCCATGGCCAAGCAAGAAATACAAAAGTGGGACTGCTGGAAGACGTACGGGCTAACAATAAATACGCAAGTAACACAACCTTGAGAGAATACTGCCAGAGTCAATGATGACCAGAATCATAAAACACCAAGAGGAAGTTAAAATAATGGGAAAGTACAGTCAATTTAAGGCAATTTTTAAGTTTTTATTGCTTCGAAATTTAGGAAAAGTAGTCACAATGTGCTTCACACAATTAGGATTGAGGACTAGAGATGTACTTGAATTGAGTAAAAATCTAATAACTCAAAGACGTAAAAGAACCTCTATGGGGTGAATTTTATGATATTTGACAAACTACTGGCAAAAACACTCCGCTTTTAATGGTGAAGAAAATTTAGAAATCAACATGAGAGACAACATCCACGTTATAAAGCAGGGGCAAGTATGTGTAATTTCAGCTCATTAACAAAACAAGTTTCTAAATCAAGCTAGCAATAGGTAGAAGTTAATAATTTTGGAAGCTCCATTGATCTACCACTACACCGAAAAAGTAGTTTCATGTCGCAATTCGATTATTTTTCAGGATCTTAGGGCAGCAATCGAAACTGGTTAGCGCTTGAAAAAATTTTCCCTATTCTAGTATGACTGCCAACCACACCGTTTGTAATGAGGTACTCGGAGTTTGTTCTGGCTATGGAGGGTTTAGGTGTGCGTTTACTGAAAATCACTATCTTTGTGCAGCAGTTTCTGAAGGATTTGCAAAATGAGCAGGAAGGTACAACATTTGGAAAAAGGGAGGTAAGAATCCTCCACTTTGCGCAAATCTTCTTGAATAGCTTCACAGGAAAAATCTGAGGGCCTTAGGTGATTTTCATACATATAATTATTATGACGGATAAATAATTCGGAGTACTCAAAATCTCTGCTTTAGAATATTAGTTTTACCAAGCGGACACAAATCTCTAAGGTTTGGCAGCTAATGCAGTATTAACTTGTGCAAATGACAGATGCTTCACACTTCATCAATTATTGTCAGTGAAGCTTTTGTCTGAAAAACTTTCAATATGTGCTCTGAAATACTGGGCAAAATAATTTCAGTTTCAAAACGGCTTAAGAACTTGCAACTGTGATAGGGAAATTGCTATTGAATCGTGAAACTTCAATACAGAGTACCTAGTTATTAATATTTGTACAGATTAAGTAACACTTGTTATTAATGGTGAGATACCAAATACAGGATATGTAAAGGATTTAAATTACCTATTTATTTATTGTCCTTTTAATTTATTGGAAAATTTATTACAAATGCAAAGGTAGAACTGGAACAATACATAGTACAATTTTTTAGGCATTTCCTGACACAGCGCAACTTTATGAACTGTGCTCCAAGAATATTCTCTGAAACCAAATACCATGCTGGAAAAAAGGTGTATCTCAAACATGGATTTCAAAACTGTTTTCATACAATACAGTGCAAGATTATTCAAACAGAAACAAGAATATCTCAGTGCGGAAATGAAGGATTCAGGCACTGATACTAATTATAGCAGGGAAAGAGACTTATATGCTCTTGAATTTCTTAAATGTTGAAAATCCTTTTCCTAATCAGAAACTATGTTCCAATGGCAATTTTTTTTTTTTTAATTATTAATCAAGACACTGGAAAAAGCTTCAAATCTAGTATTCTTCTGGTTTACCATTGCCTTGAAAAATCGTAGGTAACATCCAGAAGCTTGAACAAGAAATAATTATAGCAATTAGGAAACTATTTCCAAAAAAATTCAGATGAATCAGTCTTGTTGGAAGTGGTACTAGCAAAACTAGAAAATTCTTCTAATAGGAATAAAGATCTCACAAAGGATCAATTAGAGCAATACAGGAATTGTCCATCATCTATGAGGCTGTTAGCTCATGCATTATTTTTTATACATCAGATAAAACATGAATATTTCTGCGCAGGAGAACTAATTAGATGAGCTGCGCATACAAAAACATGGTTGAGAGACCTGCAAAACTAACATCTTAATTCTAATATCAAATGCAGAAAGGATCAATTAAGATGATACAAGATCACACTTTGGGCCTCTGTACCAGCCCTCATCAACGTATTGGATTCTCTCATTCTAAACAAAAGTACCCAAGTACACAACTTCCTCAATTCACTCCATTACTTTTGAGTTTGTATTTACAGCTTCCTTCTCTCATTTCAGCGAATTTTACTAGAGTACCACATGATTAAGGAACTTCAAAGGATTTACATAGAATATCAAGACATGGATTCTGGTACTGAGGAGGTCATTCTAACTTTTGATTCTGTTTCGCAAAAAGATTGATTGTTAAGTGAACTGTTTAATGAAGCACTAGATCTATTGTGAGTTAAATGACTTTGAACTAGGTGTCCAGATGCTAAGGCGGACATCAATGATAACTCTCCAGCAAGAACAGTCCCACAAACAACTCGAGCTAGACGACTGGCATTTTCCCCAGGATTTTCAAGATTGGGTCCTTTCACTTTCAACAACTCTAAACATGCTGCTTGTGGTGAGAGAATCGTTCCCCCACCAACTGTGCCTATCTCAATGGAGGGCATTGTGCAAGAAACATATAAATCTTGGCCGTTCTCACCCCATGGCTCCATCAAGGTCATACAGTTGCTGCTTGTTACATTTTGCGCAGGATCCTGACCTGTTGCAATAAAAATGGCTGTAACAATATTGGCTGCATGTGCGTTGAATCCACCAATGCTTCCTGCCATGGCTGAGCCTATTAAATTTTTGCTGACATTCACATCAACTAGGGCATGAACCGTTGTTTTCAAGACGGATGATACTACAGACCCTGGAACAACAGCTTCACAAACCACAGATTTCCCTCTTCCCTCAATCCAATTGATGGCTGCAGGCTTTTTATCAGAGCAGAAATTACCACTCAAACTTAGGACTTCCATGTCTGGAAATTCCTGTTTCACGAACTTAAGTGAATGTTCTGTGCCTTTTGAAAGCATATTCATTCCCATAGCATCACCAGTTGTTGCTACAAACCGTACAAATAGGTATCGTCCGGCGATCCTCACATGGATTTTCGTGAGCCGCGCAAAACGGCTGGTCGAATCAAATGCTTTCTTCATTCCATCAAAATTATCGGACTCCAACATCCATCCCATTGCTTCACTGGCTCTAGTTGCAGAGGGGAAACGAACCACAGGTCCTCGTGTCATACCATCAGCGACGACTCGACTTTTCACTCCACATTGAGATAAGGCCCGGCTACCTCTGTTTGTACTTGCGACCAGACAACCCTCTGTGGTAGCGAGCGGCACATATACGAACTCGTCATCCAATCTTAATGGGCCAGCAATTCCTACTGGCAGTGGGACTACACCGACAACATTTTCACAACAAGCTCCCAGAACTTTGCTGTAATCATAATCTTTGTACGGTAAATCTTGAAATAAGTCAGGTCTGCGAGTTTTCATGGCTAGCATGCGCCTCCTTATTCCAACACCACGTTCAGGATTTTTAACAGCTTTTTCAACCTGATACGCTGGAATCACTCCGTTGACCACTAGGTTACATACCTCATTATCTGTTAAGGTTGAAGCTGAGCCACTATTTTTAAAGATTTCTGCACAATTTTCTACTGACCGTAGAGGAGTTTCCACATTTTCCACGTTCTCATCAAGCACTGTTTGAACCATTTTGTTTTCAGATTCAACTGCTTTACCTCCACTTTTAAAAGTATGGTCTGTTTGAGAGCATTTATTGTCCATAACTAAATTAGAGCGTTTCTTCGGAGTGTTGGGATGAATTCTAGACTCACTTTGACGACAGCTTACTTCCCTCCAATCCCTGGAGGAAGCGAATTCACCATTCAACAATGCAGGTGTGAACTTGTTTATCAGAGCGGTGTCAAGTGACAAATGCGCTGCTAACGAGGCTTCTGTTGCCATGTGATTGTTGTCTTGAAAAATAAACTTGGCTACTAGAGCGAGTATCAGAATCAAAATTAAAATATTATCTATGCTAGGAAACCATTTGATAAACTGCTCTTGAGAAGCAACATTGTCGTTAGAATTGTCACTCATGTTGATACCTGCGATCATTTTCTCCGCGCTATCCTGAGGGTTTTCTTCATGCAGAGACCAACGACTGTGGGCATGAACAACTACCAGGCCCACGGACATTATCAGTTTTACACGTTGAACAACAGGGTTTGGTTTTTGGTCTTCTATTTGCCATGCTTTCATGAATGGAGATTTCTCAGACCACGGCACGCTACTTCCTGGACCGCAACGTACAAGCTCAAGAATTAAAGATAGCACTGCAGGATAAAATGTCATGAAAACTGCATAGTGTACAACAACTGAGAGACAGGCATAGCAGCAGAGCACTTCAAGCCTCTGAACACCTGACAAAGTACCAACGCTTATGACCAGAGTTTCAACGAGCGTATCTAATGTGATTGTCGGACCAAGTAGGGAAACTCCTCGGGCTATGTTCTCTTTTACTTCTTCGCAGTTAGATGCACTGAGGGCTAACTGGGCGAGAGTAGTCGCTTTCGAAAGGTCAATCAGGAGAAGGAAAAAGAAGAGAGCATCCTTTAAATCCGATATGTCGCCATGCAGGAAGTTTATGACGCTCGTACTGAACATGAAACTAGAAACAACTGTGAACAATCCTGTGATACCCAAGATATACTTGGATCCAAGTTTCTGGAGATTTGTGAATTGATAGTAGCTGTACAAAACTGCTACGACCCTGATAAGGGTCATGACAATTACATCCGCTGCGTTGATTTCGTCTGTGATGGTCACATTGCGAACGGGCTTCGAATCCATGGCTAGCATGCATGCTGTCAAAGTGAAAGTAGCCACTATGACCTCCCATGGGTGTGAGGCACAGAACTGACCGTGCCTCAAGAAATAATTTGCTACCATTCTGTATTCTTGATAACTTGACGAGAGAGGATTGGAATCAGAAAATAGTCATTTGAACTTCCCCGAGAAGCACATTACGTGTACGTAATACACTTGTTACCATGATCACTGGATTTGACAATCGCTCACACCTCTAGGAGAGAAAAAGTTCTGCAGCTGTGGATACTGTGACAATTTGTTGATAACAGCCTCTCACAAGGGGTGATCTCAGAACAATGTAATAAATTTACTGATAACACTGACGATCAGGATGGAAAATAAACAAGTCTATTTTGTATAAAAGGGACGGCGAACTTTTGAAGAACTCAACTCACGAAACTGCGGGAAAATTGGAGCGATACTGATAACAAATCTCGAAGAACAACAAATTAATTCACAAGAAACGTCGGGAAAAATGAATGAAGATGACGTAATATCAAGTTCAGACAGCCATGATGCGTCATAGAGCAAGCTTTCACTTCACGCATGCGCCACGCGAAATTCGGCAACACTGCAGACATGACGTAATAGTGGTTGAAGCCCGCGAAATTACAAATGCACACGGCCACTCCTTTCTTCATTCTCATTTTTTGTTGCTTTAAATAATTTTTTCAGACTCTTCATTTTCATTTTTTTTGCTGCAATTTTTTCTACTTACTCCTATCTCCATTTTAAAGAGGTATATTAAGTTGGAGAAAAATGTATTAAGATTCACGAGGTGTGTATATGAACTGTATTTTGTTTTTTTAAAAAAAATGCTTCTCCTCACACCTATCTCATCATCTTTTTTTAGTAAACAACTATGCTGCGCTGTGAGAACTCAGACTGATTCTGAGAAGAACCTACTACATGCATTGATCGCCAAGATTGCCAGGTTAAAAAATACTAACTCTTGCTTATGTAATCTTATTAATGTATTAGATGAGCAAATTAATTTACTCAAATGCAGCAAGCTCGTTTGACCTCATGATGAGTAGTCTTTTTTCCATTTCATTTTTATATTTTTCCATGTATCGTTAATCTTACAAGTCGGTCAGACTCATTCAAGCATGGGTACACTTTTTGATTCCTGAGCTGTGACTTGTGTTTATCGTGTCTTGATTTCACTCGCAATCTTCTGCTCTCTCAAAGTCCCAATACAAATGGAAAGTAGCTCCTTCCTTGAGAAATGTAATTTTATAAAACTTTCAAATTTGAAGCTAAAGTGTCCTTAATGGAGAGTACAAAGGAACATAAGTGAATATGAGCAGCGGCGGACATCTTTCAAAGCACATAAAATTATCAAAAGTTTTTTCTGGTAAAAAAATACGGTATTTATTATAAAAAAAACTTTATACACTTTGTACAATACAATGCTCGAACTTTGGTTAAGAGCTTTGACAATTCTTAGTCGAGTAACTTAGCAAGAAGATATGCTTTGATAGAGATCTTTTATAATACATGATTCTAGGTGACATCCATGTTTCATGATTTGAAAGAAGTCTCTACAGCAAAATAAATTAACATTTTAGAATCAAGGAGGAGGAGCAGTTACCAGAACTAAGATTTCTGGATTGCATCCTGGAGCCGGAAGCAGTCACTTGCGATTTTCCATTTGTTATCTTCGTCAGTAATAATCATAAAATTTTGGTGGAAGGACTTCTGTTCTCTATGTATTTCATACTTAACGATTCCATACACTTGAATCACATATGCCAGTTTGTTTCCTGTCACGGATTCTGAAAAAAGAAAGTTGATACTGATAAAACCATAAAGAAAGTGTACAAAATTCATCAAACATGAAAATAATACTCGTTTAGATCTTAAGTTGGACCACCATCATTCATATCATCACTGTCGTCACTATCCTATCCACTATCATCCCACTATCCCAGAGACACAACAAGCCTTCCCAGCTTACCACATACTGTATTTGTGCCGCCGAACTAGAAGAAGCAAAACAGGAGATTTTAGCAAAATCAGGAGAGATAGAGAACTTGAAGTCTCTCGTTGAAGGTATACAAAAAGTACTGAGGCAAGTAAAAAATCACCCTGCAGAAAATTTTGGAGTGGCTATCATACAAGAAACTCAACACACAATTTTGCTGTGCTACGCAAAAATATGTCAGTCACAAAGTAATTTCTCCGTGCTACAGACTTGTATAACGAATGATTCACCCAGCACATCTGAAAATGAAGAATGCATTCAACAAAAAGGGTTTGGAATGGAGGCAGCAATTTTGGCATAGTCTATGAACAACCATTTCAGAATGTGAAGTTGGGAATTGAGATCCATATTTTCCTATTCCATTATTGGAAAACGTTTCAGCTCCCCTTTATCCGGAGGGTAACCCTAGATTAGGATCTGATTTTTGCCCCCTGGGTTGACAATAGTTCGGTACTCCCAGAATTCCTAGATTCCGATTGTGATGGCCTTTGAGGACTTGAAAAAAGAAAAAAAGGCATCACTTTCAGAACAAGCAAATATACTTAAAATACTCTTTCAAAGGTACTCTTTCAGTTCAAAATAACAGTAAAACATTTTTTACTTCTAATTTTCAAAATTAGTATTTTATGAACTTAAATTCTTTACTGAAAGAAGTATATAAATAAGTATCTTCAAAATTACTAGATTGTTTAGTCCTTAAAATTTAATTCTGTTTTTTTATTTTATTTCTAATTTTTCTGTGAGTTTTCTTTGCGTTTACCTACTGATGCATTTCAATCAATTTCTGTCCCCAAAAATCTGACACCTCGGGCTATAGCCCATGTGTGGCCTCCCTTAAAATACAGCCCTGCCTGAAATTGTGTATAGGTTGTGAATAACTTGGTCAAAGTTGATAGTTATTTTTTTCCTTTAACAAACCTGGAACTTTTTGAGCATCCAAGGTAGTTACAGTATGATGAGATCCTGGCAAATCTTCCAAGTGTTTTATGATACTCTCCTTTCCAGAAAACCCATTTCCATTCCACACAACTGCTGCACTGTCAAGGTACAATTTAGGCATGAGCTGAAAGTAAAAACAAAAATGTGACTTGCATGAAAGTTACAATTGTACTAATTCTAAATGATTTGTGGACATAAACTAAATCAGAAAGACTCTGAAAGGCACATTTATTGCTGATATTTTCATTTTGACACAATAAACATTAGCCTTCATTTTATGCGCAAAATAATGCTACCGAGTTATTATCGTTGCGGTTGAAAACTTTCATCCAAAATGTCTGAAAAATTTCTATACTTGAGTTTCTTTTTCAAACAAAAAAGATTGAACAGATATAAGGTACTGCAAGTGAGCCGATGCTCTAGTAAATAAGATGCTCACAAATAACTGAATCACTGCCTACATTCTCTTCACGCAAAGGGGCAAGTGGTAGACATTTCCACTCATTTTGGTCCTTCAATAATCAGGACCCAAAAGCAAAATATTTCACATCTCTTTTCTTGAAATTCATTTTTGACACTAATGAATTAATCTTAGCAGAACTGGTGTCAGATAAGTTGGCAGTTGTTTACTTTTGACTATAAAGCACAATAGACCAATTAACATTGGCATTACAACAACACGACTATGCTAAGAAAGCAGGCCATATGAGCCTTCAGACGTTACCAAATTTCCTTGAACAAATCACGAATTTTAGGGACCATTAGCAAAAAATTTTTAGCCCATTTTTCAGAGAGTGATGTTCAGAATTAGATTTAAAGTTTGTGAAAATTTCAAGGAAAAATGTCCATAACGTCTCCAAAAATACATATTTATCGTGAGGAATTTTAGCAACATTTGAAGGCTTACAAGTTGTTTTTCCTTCATAAAAAAACATTACTAACCAGTCTCTTTTTGTCCATATTTTCATAGTAGATTTTTGTGAACTCTTCAGCAGTTGAACATGCAAGTTCAACATGCGCTTTCGGGTCCTAGAAAAAAAAAAAAAACTCAAATGAATAAATAAATTTTGTAACTGCTGACAGACAGTAGACCTGCCAGTTCTGCCTCCATAAAAAAAAAAACCCCTGGAAATTCCATTTTGTTAAGTGGCTATTGCAGGGTGCAGAAAATGCCCAATTTTGTGATACCAGAATCGAGGCATATATGTGGTAAATCTTGAGTTATGAAGTAATTTCCAACAAGAAAAATCCTTCTTTTCTTATTTACTCAATACTTTAAAGTTGCAAAATTTACAAGAAATTGGGCATTCTGTTATAAAATCAGACATTCGGCCACAAGACAATTCGGTAACATGGGGTGAGACAAAACCACCAGAATGTAGAACGCAGTCCACACTTTGGAACATTTTGCAACCCTGCACGCACAAGTTTCGGTTTTGCTTGGATTTACACAAAGGTGTTCAATAGGCAAATTTTCACGAGAGGATTTGGTGGAAGTTTTTAACTTACTGCCAACCTCCATTACGAGAAAATGAATTTCCCTCCGGATGACGGTGCACATACAACATTTGGTTTTCATGCTGGCAGCAATGATGACCCACCTCTGGAGGTGTAAATATTCACCAAAATTCATCGAGCAGGTGAGCATCATTCTTGACTGCAGCAGAGCGTTTTTCTCCATTAGTTTGCAACCTTGCTGATCTAGTTGAAAAAGTCAACCAAATCTATCCGCGAAAATTCTCATAAACATTGGATTGTTTAGTTGCATTGCGGATTAGGAGTGAAAAAGGTGTCAAATTTATTTCTTTGACATATTCCAGAGTGAGTTACAAATTTTAATTGGATCTTAAAACAGATAATAAGGAAGAAATTGGCTTGATTTTTTGAAGCATAGTTCTACGTCATGAGTCCATCCACATGACTTCGTGACATTTCAGAGTCCACGCCGAATAAATTTACCCACTATTTGACAGTGACAGAAGATCCACCATCTTGCTCTTTATATTTAAGTACCTTACACGTAAAAGGGACTTCGGATGATCTTCTGTTGCAGTGCGGAGGTGCGTAAACTTATTTGGCGAAGACTCTATTTGCTAATACTTGCATAATACGTTGGAGTGAGATTTTGGATTAGACTGTTTATAGTCCTTGTATTTCTTTAATTGGGGAGATGAATGAATGATAAAAAAGGCCTTTTTAGCTTCTAAGTGTTGCTTTAAATGAACATTTTTCAGCACTGGTGTACTGGGAACCTAAGGTACTTACAAGAGTTTCCATCGAGGAGGTGATATATTATTTCAGAGAAGATAAAATTATCCTGGTCTTTTTAGTACTGAGCCTAGAAGGAACGTCGTTGGTGGAAATAATAAACTGATTTCGCTGACAAATTTCAAAAAATTAAAGTTCTTTCGCCGGCCATGCGACTTTACGATAACAGCGATAACAACAAAATCAAAACATGAAAGCTGCCGAAAATCCATCAGTCAACGTCAGCATCGCAATTTGGAAGAAGAAGAAGAACAATAACAAAGTTGTTTTTGTGCTTTTTTCGTCGAAGTTCCGAAAGTTTCAAGCTTTCTTCTGAATTTGCATTTTTAAGTTTCACGATTACCATACATCCGGTTTCCTCTGCGTTATATTAATTTTTTGCTGTGTGAACCATTCAAGACCTGAAGAAGAAAGTTCTTGTTAAAAATGAAAGTTATCACACCTTTACCTTGTGTTCACCTCACCTCAATTTCGGCGTCAATCTATCTTAAAAGAGAGTCTTAAAGTAGAAAATTTATCAGCTTGAACGTTTTTCCTCTCTTTATCATCTGAATTCAGCTCTCGTTTCAAAATGTCAATCAGTGGTTTCGTAGACTTCTTCCAAAAAGGGAAGGTTCGTATTCAAGCGCATCCATAATACCTACCCAAATTACCTTGAGAGAATTAATCATGTTTCCTGTCTTGACAGTACTGAATGCTGCACAAATTCTACTCCTCTCGTTTAATTAAAGTATGCAAGCAACATTTACTCTGCATGGCTTTTCTCCTAAAGCTTTTCATGAATCAGGAAGATAGATTTTATCAACGATTGAATTGTTAGTGTACCCAAAATGGGCATCAGCTATAATGAGATTATGCATCTACCTTATATGGTCTGATGTCTGATAAGAAAAGATTAGCATTGCTGCCTTATCCTCAATGATGAATATCCGGCCAAAGTAACACAAGTGCCATGTGACGTTTTAATATCTCGTCCGCCCTACTATTTTTTTATAGAGAAGTTGTAGGTTGAATCTGTTAGAAAATTTCACTGAATTCCATCAGCAGCACAAAGAAAATTCGGTGAAATTTTTGGACAGCTTTGTCAAACAATCTCTCGGTAAAAACATAGAATGGTGGCAATTTTTAAACGTTGCATGGCGCTTAAGGTACTTTGGCCGGAAGGTGACTACATCTCAACCTTTGTCTCCTTGTCACCGCCAGCATTGGAGTTCTTTTCACCAGAATACATATCAGTGACAGCGGAGCTCCCAAATGACGAATCTTGGTTTGCAATGTCGCAATCTTCCTGTCGCACTTTACTTTTGAAGTGGCAAACTAACTAAATCAATGTTAGCATAGGCTGGTTTCTGGCGATAGTGTGAAATCATTGTTAACTTTTTTCTCAGACGTTCCGGCCGAAAAAGAAGTTCAATCCTGGAACAATGCGCTATTCCTTACACAAGCAAGCACAGGCATCTTTGAATTCTGGTATCAATCTAAGATCTGTTGTCCAGTTACCTGAAGGAGAAGACTTAAATGATTGGATTGCTGTACATGGTAAATGAACTTTGACAGTTCCCATTTATTTCAATAAGTATCGTGTGCTTATAGATCAAAACTTAATTTGCATAGTTTATTGCTTAAATATTCCACCAATATCCTCAAATCCACAGGAATATTAAAAGGGGGTTTTGTATCAACATGAAAACATGACTTCAGAAGTAGGTAAAAGAGTCATCCAAAAAGTAAGACCATGCAGATCATATCACTAGAACTAAGAGAGATGAATCAAAATTGAGAGTAGTTTCTGAGCTACATTGTCTCCGTAGACTTACCAGACAGAAGCAAGGTACACTCTACTACAGGTATGGACAAATGGAATTTTAGAAAGTCGTCAAAACGCGTAGATTTGACAGCATCGAGAGTACGACTGCGAAGACCTGCGCGGCAAATGGACGGTACGACTTCATACGTCACTCGATCGCCGATTTTCTCAGCGCTGCCACTTCGGCACCCCGTTTGTCCATACCTGTAGTAGAGTGTACCTTGAGACAGAAGTTAGTCTTCTGTTTACTGATTGTAATTCAATGGTCCCATTACCCTGTGGAGATCCTATTTGTTAGTTAAAATGTCCAGCACTCATACGTATGTAAAGAAGCAGGTCATTGCGTAATTCCAAGGAAGTGGAACAAAGTTAACCGCTCAGCCTTGGGTAATTCTGTTTCTAAAGGATTCTAAACAGTCCAGCTTGACAACTCACCTCTGATTCCGTACATACAGAGCCCTCTTATATGTTTGTATTATTTTTTTTATCCTGAAATGGACTGCGTTTAGTAAAAAGGAACCAAGCTACATCAGCTATTACCAAATTTAACTGGGCAGTTTAAGTTTTTACAAAACACAAATTTTGCCAATTTTTTTGAAAATTTTGAGGAATTTGCTTTGCATTATGCAGAAAATTCACTGAAATTTGCGCAAGAATCTGCACAAACGTTTTCATTTATGAAATTAAATTGTGCAGTTAAATTTAGCAATAGCTGATGTGGCTTGGTTCCTTTCTGCTTAACGTGGTCTAAATAACATACAAGTTAGCTGATTATTTACAATAAATTTTCTATTTGATAGGCTTTTTGTCTTGGTTTTTTTTCTGATACGACAAATCATTTTTTTTCCAGTGGTGGATTTTTTCAATCGTATCAACTTGATCTATGGTACAATTGCTGAGTACTGTGTGGAAGAAACATGTCCAACAATGGCAGGTGGTCCAAGATTTGAATACCTCTGGGCGGATGGAGAAAAATATAAGAAGCCAACCCCTTTACCTGCTCCAAAATATGTGTCGTTGCTCATGGATTGGATTGAAGCTCAGATCAACAACGAGAATTTATTCCCTGTCTCAACAGGTACTACCACTTTTAAATTAAGATTGAAGTTGTGAAATAAAGCAGAATTCAGGATGGATTAGAAAGAAACTTTGTCACTAATGATTGTAATTTAAGGTTTTTAAAGTATTCGAGAGACTCTGTGAAGATCTTTTGTTGTTTTCAATATGTCATTGATAAAATATGTTGTTACATTTACTCTTTTTTTGTTTCAGATGTACCATTCCCAAAGAATTTTCAGTCTTTGTGTAGAAAAATTTTAACCCGGCTGTTCAGAGTGTTTGTCCACGTTTATATTCATCACTTTGACAGGATTGTATCCATAGGAGCTGTAAGTCTCAATCCTTCTTTTACATTCTGAAATACCAGAGATTATTGGAAATAATCCAAAAATTATTATAATTTCTGTAGTTCCAGGTTTTTTTTTTTTTTTTTTTTTTTTTTTTTTTTTTTTTTAAATCTGGCTCTACTACAAATGGATGAAAGGGAGTTCTTTTTCTATGGTGCCATTCAAAAGTCTTTGGTGAACCTAGCCCCAGATTATTTAAGTTTTTTCCTAAATGTTTTGCTGCCACCTTGAGAAAGGACCCCCTAAAGAGCTAAAAATTTGAGTATTGGAAAACAGGGTTCAAACTGTGCAGCTTGCGCCTGTTGCTTTTGAATTTTTGTATAATAATCATCTTTTTAAAAAATGAAGTTATCCAGCATGCTTTTTAAAAAATTCAGTGCGGGTGCTATTCTTTTTAGTACTCCAACACTTTTTGAGAAAAATGTCATCGCATAAAGGGTGTCTGAAAAAAGTTTGTTCTGGTTTTCCAGTTAAAAAACTAAGTGACGTATTAAACTGCTTTCAACAGATACATCATGTCCATGCCATACTCAATAAGGGCAGCAATATTGTCAATCTGACCACAGATACACAGGAAATTGAGGAAATTGTTGTTGCCAAATGATTTTTTTTCTACTGTCGACAATGAAGCTCTTGCATGCATCAGAGATTTGCAATTTAAGTAATTGTTTCAATGTAAAATTCTGCAAGAAAGACAATAGTGCCACGGGTTTTCTCTGAAATCAACTTAAAAAAAAAAGCTCTTAAAGTTGAGGCTATAATGGAGGGATCCTTCACGCTACGCTGAGAGTCCATCTCGATATTTAGTCAAACTCTCCATGCACAGACAGGGACCAAATACATCAGCAGGGTTGCTGTGGTTCCAGCATCTGAGTATCCAAAGAAAGTGGCAACCCTGAGTATGTCTTACTCCTCACCAGTGCAAGGAGAATTTAACTGGTTATAGAAATGGACTTTTAGCGTAGTGTGTAAATCGCATATCTCTATATCATACAAGAACTCCATCCTTCAAACTTTTCGTGTACCCGTGATCACATTGCCAATATCTCTGTAATTATTTTTAAAGAGATAGTTCACTTATCGTCCCACATGACATGAAGATGATGTATCTGTTGTAAGCAGCTAATGTTCCTATAAATATTTTCAAACGAAGCGTTTCAATTTGTATGTTTCTTGGCATTAATATATTTTCTTGCTCATTTCAGGAGCCTCACGTTAATACATGTTACAAGCACTTCTACTATTTCATTCGTGAGTTCGATCTTGTAAGCAGCAAAGAACTGGAGCCGTTAAAGGAAATGACTGTTCTTATCTGTCGTGATAGTTCGCCTGTGCATCAGAGCAGCAGCCAGAGTCAGCGGTAACTTTTTAGTTTATCTTCAAGCAATATACCTCGCATCATTTACTGTACGCCAAAAAGGTGCTCAAATGATTATCTTTCTTTTATGGTTGTCATAAGTTGTTTTGGAGAGGTCACCACTTCACACCCCTCCAAGTACCCAGCATGGATGAATAATCCTAGCTACACAGTAGAGCTGAGACCTCCCTACCATGATTAGCCCAATCATGCACTGGTGCCCTGAAATGGGCGGAGCCTTGCAAGGTTTTTCTTTTTCTGTTTTTTCTTCAGGGGAAAGCGATCATAAATTTTGGTTAAAAATGGGGGAAGGTTGATTGAATTTGAGGGAAGGCATGGAACTTTTTGCACCCCTGTAGCCAAATAAAATAGGAGGCTCCACAATGCAACCCTTAACCAAGAAAAAATTGTACAAGCTGGAAACAGCCTTCCTTTATTGCAAAAATAGCATGACTCGAAGTTATTTGAGTAAGGAAACCGGTGTAATTTTTCGTATATTTGCTTCTTACACATGTGAAAGAATGATACATAATCCTATTGAAAGCCCTCCATAATCTCATAATGACGGAATCATGTGTATTGATCAAGAAACTCAAAACCTACCTATATCTTTATTGAAGTGTTTAAATTTTTCTGCTCTTTCCTCATTTTTCCATGTTTTCAAATGAAATTTTTGACTTTTATTTAGAGACCCACCAGAAAGTAGTGCAAAGTATTGATTATTTTTTTCATTGAAATAAAATGCTATGCAATTTGACCATACCATTGACTAAGATACAGGAGTTTCTAATGTTGTAATTGATATCTCACCGGTGAATTTTGTTGCTTTCCAAGATTTTATGTAAAGCACTAAGTCTAAGCTCATGAGACAATCTGCAAGTTATGGTAAATCAAATGAAGTGACGTTGCTTAGAGGGCTGATTGTTGAAATTGATAGACAAAGAAGACAAAAGGGATATGGAGGGATCCTATTGGTGGAAGCAGGTGGTTGCAAGTATACAAAGAAGGTAGATAATAGACTAAGTAACGACAACCCGCTAGAGACCCTAGTTAGTCCATCATTTTCTCCCTTAGTCTATAGTAAGCAACCATTTCAACCATTAGGATTGCTCCATACTCCCTATGTCTTCCTTTGTGTATCGCTTTGTCTATTAATTTTATCAATAATCCCGCAGAGGAAGAGATGATAACTTTTTTAATGCCAATTAGAACAAAAATATTTGCATATAAATAACCACAACACAAAACCATGCATCTTTATTGCGGCGCTGCAAAAGTTCCTCTCTACTTTATTTTTTCGAAGGGGAAGAAGTCAACTTTATAGCTTGAAAATACTAAATATTCTGCTAACGGAGAAAAAGGATCAAGTAATTCTCAAGAAATTACTTTGACGAGTCTCTAGGAAAAAAAAATAAAGTATGACAGGAAGTCCGCAACGTCAGAAATAAAAACATGTCGTTCTGCACTATGGCCCATGTTCCCTTTTCCGGAGATTCAATCATTATTAACCAACATATTTTTAACTGTAATAGTGTATTTTACATTTTGCTCTACTTATCTTTACTTCTTCCTTTTCAAGAATATTAATACTGCCATACATCTCTCAGTCCCTGTAGACCATTCAAAAGTTGAGCAAGCTATTGAAAGCAGGGTGGGATGTGACTATGAATTGGACTACATTTTGCAATTTGGAACTATAAATTCTAGCCTGGTTTAAAAACAACGTATGTGCCATTCGTTTCCCTATGCTTATAAGTGTTTTTCCAGAAGAGCCAGAATTTATAGTTCCAAATTGCAAAATGCAGTCCAATTACAATTTGCTATAAGTGATAATGATGGTCAAAGGAAGTTTTATGTGAAGAATTAAAAATAAAACAAATCGTGTCCAAGGAGACTCAAACGGTGTATTTCCTAATAACTTTCCCAACAGTAATAATAGTATTTCCTATGTAATAAAGAAAATGCTTCTAAGTGCACTTTTCCCCTTTTTCTCCCTTGTAAAAATTACATAATTTATTGTAAACTATTTAACTAGTTTAACTCTATTGAATTTTAAAGAAGATAAATCTTATAGATTTAGTAAAGCGAACCCTGTACGAAATGCATGAATACTATTTTTAAGTGTCGAAGAAAATTATGCCAGATTTTTTTGTCGCAATGATGCTGTCATCTAGTCTCAAGGCTTTTTTAGTTGCAAATAAAAAAATAAAAACAATACATCTGAATAAAAATTAGTATGAATTACCGAACCAAAGACTTTAACGATGCAATGAATTTAGCTATGAATATTTCCATAAAATTTGTGTGTAAATTATATTATAATGTATGTAATCATGTTGGCGTCCAGTATTAGCAAATTGTGGATTATTATCAGGAACCTAGATTAATTGCCCATGTTTTTTTTTTCTTTTCTTCATTTATTATGATTTATTCATAATTGCATACATTTTTGTGATTTTTTTCATTAGTTAGAAGTAATGCTACGAACCAATGTTGTGAGATTTTTACTCGAACCAAGGAAATTTGGCTGTTGCCTCTTATAATGACCAACTGGGATTTTATTTCAGTGCACTTTTCCCCGCATTTTGTAACTGCCTCGCACTCTAAATTTTTGTTTCTTTCAAAAAAGAATGAAGTCTAAAAATTCCACATCTACCTTACAATGATTAAGTAACCAGAATGAGAATTTTAAAAGTTGCTTAACGCATAGAAACTGACAGGGCTAATAAAATCTGTCTTACAGCAAAGTGAGGTGTCTTTGAGCTTTTTAGCGGACCAAATGAACGGATTTAATCGGGAATCAGCCTAATCACATCAAACGTTGCCTTATTTTCGTTGATGTTAGATCTATGTAACAGGAAACTAAGCATGGCTGTAACTAGAAATTTGTGATTATATTCCTCATTATCAAGGGTGAATTCACAGGGAGTTTATACGTCATATTCAGCTCAGTTCTCAATTTAAAAAATTTCTAAATTTCTTTTACATCCAACTTCTCTGAAACTTCATCGCCTTTAATAGATAAGCGGACAAGATTGACTGCCAGAATAAAATGTAAAGTTCATTTGCAGAGACACTCAAACCCATCGAAGCTTATAAGACAAAAAAGTTGCCATGATGATGTGATAACAGTTGCAAATACTAGATGCTTATTCTATGTTTCATGGCAGCTCGGTTTGAAGGATCATGTACAAAGTTTTTAAATATTTTATATATTAGTCACTTGTTTTTTGCAACGGCAGGGTAAGAAGGAGCTGTGTAGTTACGCATAATAATTTACCAGAATAAGTCTAAATTTAAGATTTATAGGTCTTGTGAAAACGGAAGCGAGCATATAAGAATCTAAATTCCTCAAAAGAATAATGATGAAGTACATCGTAAGCATAAATTATGAAATTTAATCAGATGTGCTTTGTTAGCTGTACGTCCAGATTACTATGTACCCATGGCCATCTATATTCGTGTCATGAAGTAATGTATACTTTCCATTTTTTATTAAAGTACAAATATGTTTTCTCCATAAGTGTCCAATTAAGCTGATCTCTAAATGAGAGTACCCCAATGAAGTCTCTATCAGTATTTCTGCTGTTAAATGTACCAAAAATGTATGTAAATCTTTTTCTGGCTGTAGAAAATCATCACAAGTTATTTAAGGGCATCTAGTCAGTTTCAACTCTACTGATAGCAACTTAATTTTAAGGTTACATCACATCCATTTCCGTCTCAAAATTATAAACATTTTCGGATCAAAATTATTCATGTTACTCGTTTTTGCAGCACATACTAACTTGAAAAAGAGGCTTCTTTTTGGTGATTCCTGTAGGTACCAAAACTTCATTGTAAGTAATGTTTTTGTTTCTCTTGATTTTTGCTCAATTAGCAGATCTTTTGTAATCTTTAGTTTATGGATTTTGAAAGTGTCAAAAAGTTCTGTAATGGCTGACCGGTCTATAATAGGCTATTTTGGGCTCAGTACTTCAAGTTGAACTTCCCTCTCATGCTTATCTACGCTTCATCGACGGCCAAAGTGCGAAACCCCGTATCTCTGTTTGCGACACTGCATACTTCCTGTCATACTGTTTTTTTTATCGGGAAACTAGTCAGTTCGTGAAAATTGCCTTGATTTCTTTTCTCAATTATCAAAATATTCCGCAGAAATTTCAAGCCATATAGTCGGCTTGTTTCTCTTTGAAAAAGTAAAAAAGGAGGAGAGATTTTGAAACACTGTAACGGAGGTAAGTAGTTTCGCATTTTAGCCATCGACATGTTTTGATGCAATTTGAAAGGTCTTTCTCTTAGTAAAGAAATTTCTCTTTGAATGAGGATCAATGTTCAAAAAACAATCGTATGAGAAAAGTTACCTAGAACTTAGAACTTACAGGAATTTTGCGTTTAGAACCAGTTTTTTCTTCGTTTTGTGTCATGAGTACTCGTAAATTTTGCTCTTCAATTCAAATTAATGTTACCTCAGATTCTTTGAGCATGCATCATTTTATGAATTGGATGTAGGAAAACTAATGAGATATTTTTTAAAAATAGGGAATAACAGGAAAAAATTTAAATTAAAAGTGAAATATGAATTTAAAAAAATTTGATATTAATCAGTCATGATTGTTACAATTTTCTTATATCCATAATGTTTTTTAAAAATTTAACTTATTCCAAATATTTTGTGTGAGCTTAGTAGTCTCTTAACAAAATTAATATTCGCCCTCTTAGCTGCATTGATTGTGATGCATTCTACGTTTTGTGATTATTTTGCATCTCTCTAGCACTGTTCTTGTTGATACAATTTATTTTTTGTTTAGGCGTTATTTTTTCTTTCACTATTATTGCTTTTATAAATTATTATCACACCAGCATATCTTTTATTTTGAATTATTGCTATTCTTATGATTTTTTCTTACACTAATTACACCTTAAAGTAGGATTCAAATCTTGATCAAAATGTTTTTGAAATGTACTAACATTTACGTATACCATGTAGGAATGAGCAAGATTTCATTCTGTATTTTTGAAGATTTGATTTTACACTGTCGTGTATGTGACAGCCAAAATTAAAGTACTTTGTCTCTTGTGAGAAAATTGACCATAATTGGTCTATCTCAATCAAACATTCAAAGAAGTTTGTGTTCTTATTTACAAGGATTAGTTTCAGGAACTTTTTTTTATTGTGATTTTGAGTTGTTATTTTATCTCCCATTTCAACTCCGTAAGATAAGATTTATTAAAATCTTTTAAATTAATGTTTATCTTTGAGGAAAGGCTTCATACATTGTTGAAAATTCTGTTGACAAATAAGAATAACCAAGGACACTCATATTTAGTACCTAATTTGTTGTAACTGTATCAAACTTTGCATGCAGTTTTAACTGCAATAACACCTTTATAACATCATAGTTATAATACATATTGAAAGATGAAAAATAAAAGATGAAAGCAACCAAAGTTATTATTCGTTATTCATCTGGACCAAATCAATCCTTGGATGACAAACTTTTCTTAAATCTCTGGCAAAAATATCCATATGTCATGTGAAATGTGAGCAACACTTATCAACCGGCAACATTTGTTTTTAATGTTTCCATGAAATTGGTCTGCTATGAATATTACTGACATGTTTTTTCAATAAATATCCGGACTACATTTTGCAGTTCAAAACTACAATTTCTGGCTGATCTTTAAAAACACTTTTGCGCATAGAGAAACCAATAGTACACAAGTTGTTTCTTAACTGATCCGAATGCTGTAGTTTCTAATTGCAAAATGGAGTCCATTTTTAAAGAAGATTCTTAATTCTGAAGGAAAATCTATTTTCTCAACTGCGTGCAATGAATCGCTGGCATGTACTCATCAAGCTCAGATTAGTTTTTCTACAAATCCATCCTGTAAGGGTTGTGGATACTTCCAATTGTGAACATTTCAGCTTCAATCCTTTCTTTCACAATAACTCCTTGTTTTTTCAACCAAACTTTTGCGGCTGTGTAGGAAACAGCAGTCAAACAGTCAAACGTAAACTCGTTTAAATTTTTATCACGAATAAATTTCACCATTTCATCGGTTACAATACAGTTGCAAAACCAAAATCTGGTCACTTTGCCTTTTGCAATCTTTATATGAAATCTTCCATTCTTCACGGTTCCAACATCCAAGCATTTCTGATCACACCTTTCTTGTGGTGTTAGTTGTGCTGTGAATTAAAAAAAGGGCGGAGAAATTAAACTATTGTATTACTCCCAATTTTATCTGCCGCAAACCCCTTTGATGCATAGACCCTTTAGGATAAGTTTGCAGCGAAGATAGAGGGACTACGCACATTATACCTAGAAATTTGGCAGCAGCTAATTTTCAATTTTATTTAATAGGATTTTCTTTACGTCCTTGAGCTTTTGAAATCGAACTTCCTGTGTACTAATCTCTAGAAAGGTGGTGCTGAAAAGTGAATTTTGTGTTGTTTTTACACACAATATTCAGTACAAATGTTGCAACAACATATTGGTGATCGAAGACAGTTTTTGTCTCCTCACAGGTGGGTGAAATAAAACAGACAAAAGGATACAAAATCCTATGCATGATACAAGTATGCAGAGCAACATTCACACACACATAACAATAGCCCCTCATCTACATCAGGAAGCGCGTGTAAGAAGGCTGAAAATTCACATTTTCAGCCCCTCTTTCTCCGATTGCAGCACAAAAAAAATTCAATTTTAAAAGCTCATCGCATTCGGGAGGTCACAAGGAACATCAAATCAAATCGACTACATTTTGCAATTTGGAACTGTAAATTCTAGCCCAGTTTAAAAACAACGTTTGTGTCATTAGTTTCCCTATGTACATAAGTGTTTTTCCAGAAGAGCCAGAATTTATAGTTCTAAATTGCAAAATGCAGTCCAAATAATATTGGAATTCAGCCGGTGCTGAATTTCCTGGAATTCCGTGTCCAGTCCTTTGAGTGCTAGTCTTTCTAGATGACCGAGACATTTTTACAAGACCATGTCTGAACCAACCGTTTGTAAGTGAATATTAATGCAGAAAATGCATGCTTTAATTGCAACTTTTAAAACGATTGTTTTATTTTTTTGAGAAACCCGATCAAAATTTTGCCGTGCAATTTCGTAAAATCTAGTAGAATAAATTCAGATAGATTTTTTTAATGCATCAGCTTGAATGGAGTTTTCCTCAAAGGCTGAAAATATTTCCTGTATAAATTTCCATTTGCTAAATCGCAACAAGAGAAAGGAGGAAATTATTTAATTTGACCAGTGCCTATGCCTGTACCTAGTGAAAATTACTGGATCCAACTTAAATATCAACGACGAAACTACCAGACCACATATCTCGGTTCGCGACATTACAAATTTCCTGTCTTCCTTTATTCTTGGAATGGAAAACTACTCACTGGCAATTCTTGGAAACTTCCGTGATTTTTCCTCTCTGTATGGAGCAAACTATTAAAACTTCAAGGAATGATCTTGATTTATTCTCCTTCAAGAACCTAAGATGGGAGCGGAAATTTTCAAACACAGCAGACGAGATACGTAGTTTGATAGTTTCATCTTTTATACAGGGTGTCCGAAATTTAATGTACCTGCATGCTTAACTTTCAGGATCGATTTTTCATCTTAAAATATGACTTTTATCCCCTATACCAATATGTCCGAAAACGCTTCATAAGTGAGCTATGCGCTAGGCTTTCTTACAGTCCTTGCAGTAAAAATGACAGCTACCCAACAAGGAGCCTCGAAAATCTGGAACTTTTTCAAAGCTCTGCTGCGTCGAGATGATGCGTTTCTCGAAAAATTCGTGCAGTACCTCGTCCGCCTGATTTTTTGCGCTCTTTTACGTGCCTTGATCCATTTTCCCAAACATCATCTATCAAAAAAGCTGTAGCAATTTTAAAATTCGGGAACGCTTGTGACGTCATTTTCCGAAGACACACGTCCTTGAAAACACGAAAAATGAACAGCACGCTAAAAAATATCCCCTACACAAAGTTTCAGCTTCTTATGACAAAATAACGAAGAGATACATCAATTTGAAAGGATAATAATGGCAACTTTGGAAGCGCATAGCTCACTTCTGAAGCGTTTTTGGGCATTTGTGTATAGGAATAAATGAAGAAAAAAAAAAAAGAAAAAGAAATAAAAACACTAAGAAGTGGCCCGAAACTGTATGTAACAAAGTCCTGATGAGGTCTAAAAAGGCCCAAACCGGTATAGATCTCTCGACGTGACTCCAACTGAATATTCCGATGCAAACTGCCTGAGCTGAACACTCTCCCCCCTCAGTTTCGTACTGGTGCGCATTAGAGCTCAAAAATAATTTTGACTCTAATCTTAATTTTTGGGACTCCTTGGCTTTGATTTCCCCGCGAAATGGTGCGGACCAAGCACCATTTCTCCACCTTGTTACATATGTATAGGAATATGAAGTCATATTTTGAGCCGAAAAATCGATCCTGAAAGTTAAGTACGTTGACTTCCGGACACCCTGTATTTTGTAGTAATGATAGACAAATTCATTAAAGTAGATTAAATTTATAATACCTTCGCAGCCATGCAGCCAAATGATTCCAGGGAAAATGATCAAAAATAGTAGCAGAGAGGCTTTTACCTCGGTGTCAACACGCAACTTCACTTGCCGCGACATGGCACTGACGAAGTATTGTCCTCAAGTGCTCCGACTGAGAGGAAAAACTAGAACTTTGGAAAGCTAGCCCGAAAAATGAACCAAAAAACAGATCGAAAAAATGACTCATTCCCCTAAACAAACGCAAGCATCTCTCCGTTCGAGAGCTTTTTTTTCCTCTTTGAAATTTTTTCCTAGAAACACATCGATGTGAGCAATGGGTGTCATTGCACGCAAGTCGTGATGCTACAATTTTCTGAAGAAAGTAATTGAGAGTCAGGGGCCATGATGAGGGAGCGTGGATTTGAAACCTCTGACAGACCTAACTCATATCTCAGTAGGGAATTTTCAAAATTCATTTTTAAAAAACCACAATGATACAGAGCACAGTGCATACAGATGGCTAAGTTCAAATATGCATTTCTCAGATTGCCAAATTTTAATTCTCGGCTGATTATCCTACGAGGAGAACTAGCTGAAAGTTTCTATTGAAATTTTTCATGAGTTTTCTTCGTTTCGGAAAAATCAGGTAAAATTATACAGAAAACTTTTGATTAGTTTTCTTTGGAAAATATAAATCATGACTGGAGATTTCAAACATCACGCTAGAGATTTGCATTCTTTGCAATCAGCAATCGATTTATTGTGAACTGCCTATGAGTTTCGCAGACAGGGTAAAGATTGGTTAGAATATGGTTAGATCAGGTGTGACGATAAGATTCCCTTCCTAAAAACTCAAGGGTCTCATTCACAGTTGGATTGCATTTAGCAAAAAGGAACCAGCAAGATTACAGTGTTTTCAAAATCTTGCAAATTCTTTTATTTCTTTTAAAAATACTAAATATCTGTGCAGTATTAAAATTAACACAATTATTTCCGTTTAAAATTAACAATTTTTTGATGGGATGCAAAAACTATTTGCTATTTTGGGATATGTTTTAGATACTTATGAAGAGGCAATATTTTAACAACACTGTAATTGCACTGGTTCCTTTTTGCTAAATGCGATCCAGTTGTTCCTGAAACTGCTCTTTTCCTCAGAATGCCCCATACAAAGTAGATTGTGAATAAGAAGAGTTTAAGACAAACCTTAATATAGCATCATAAAAAGGAAAATTTTTACGAGTTTCGTGTAAAATTCGAAGGTGTAAACTTCGAACATGGATCCTTGCAGGAGGTAACAATGATTTGTTTCCATGAAAAATTAAAATTACGAAAGAAATGCCGTTTCGAAAAATTTAAGGATACATTTGTAATTACTTTAAAGTTTGTTAAAATCATAATAGAATATTTTCTTCCTCACTTTTTATTGTTTGCTGTGACAAATCACTGTAACCCCTTGAAAGGGTTTATTTCCAAAATTGTACCGTTGAATTTTACTTAAGATTTGTCAGGCCGTGACATAGAAATCAAAATTTGGATTTTTTAAAAAATGAAGGAGTTATTGAAGGGCATTTTTTTTTTAGGTCACAGACCTATTAAAAATAAAACCTATTCTTGTAATTTCCGTGATGCTCTTATTTTCAGTATAGTTTTTACTAAGGTTTAATTCTTTTAATGCAACTTTGAGGGAGAGCAGAGAGCCTGCAAGGATTTGAGGAATTTCTTTAATTTTTTACTCTGAATACTTAGCCCTTTACAACACTTTAAAGTGTCAAGATGTAATGTCTGTGACAAAGAATAAAATTCCCTGCATCTTGCAGGCCCAAAGTTCGGATTTTTTTATCAAAAACTTCAATAAGGAAAGAAAATAATTTCTATTAGTCTAAACTTCAGAGCTGAGAGGTATTTTCTTTAGTTGGTGACGAAATTCGTATTGATTGCAGAGGGAGTGATGAAATTGAACAAACACGTAAAAATTAAACGAAGAGTTGTAATCAAAATATATGACAGAGTTCAGAGTCTTAAAAAAATTATGATTATGGAGGATAATTACAATAACATCCAATAAATGCTTTTATGGAAAACGATTTTACAAAGCGAAGGAGAGAAAATTGGATAAAAAAATTACAGACTTTTGAGCGCTAAGGATCTTCATGAGCCGCAACAGCTTGAGGGTCCATTCCGACAGCTTCTTCGAGTTCTGCTGCGAGAATTTCTTCTGGGGGAACCGGCGGAACGTTGGCAGGAATAATGTTACCACCAGCATCTAACTCTAACAGAGGGTCAGCGGTTGCTTCTGCTAGATTCGTTACTGACTTTGATTTGACACACTGGAAAAAATGAGTGATGCTTTAAATCAGGAACTTGAAACACTATCAATTTAAATAATATTTTCCCTGTTCAATGCTGCCACACACGAGGATAAACATTATATCAAATGCTGCCAAATTTCTCCCGATAAAAGATTCAGCTTTGAAGATATAGGTTCGTTTGATCAGTAGGTTAGGTTAGGTTAGGAATGGAGCCCACCGTCCCACCCCTAGAGTTGCAGAGGGACAGGCTTAACCGGGACCCGTCCACCCCTTACCATGGTAACAAAGGGGGCTCCCCAAACTCCCCTGTTGCTGAACTAGCGAATAAAATGGGCCGCTGGACCAAGTAGCGTTAAAGTACGACGTATGCAGAATATTTTCTCTTCAAAATTTCATGAGGAAAATGAGTCACACAATGGGAAGTCTGGAAATTTACTCCTAGAAAAGATACAGCAATTTACAATTGGATTGCATTTTGCAAAAAGGAACCACTAGCATTGCAATGATGCTAAGAATGTGCAACTTCATCTTTTGCAATAAAATTGCGAAAATCGTGAAAAACTATGAAATTTAGATGGTAATTTTTGTCTTAAATTTACAGTTTTTAGCGAGTAAAATAGAAACTATTAATGGATAATCGGGTTTTTCCTCCAAGACAAAAGAAGTTGCACAATCTTAGCAACATTGCAATGCTAGTGGTTCCTTTTTGCAAAATGCAGTCCAATTAACATTGGTAAAATGGTAAAAAACACCAAAGGCACCATCTGTATGATCCAACTTCCATTTAATCTGTGTAAAAATACTTATTATTATCTCCTACAGGAATTGGTTTCCAAAATTCCCCTTGTGTGAATCATCTTCTCTGTAAGATTTTGAAGAGGAGGCATGTAACGTTTATTTCTAGTTCAAATCTTATTAATCACCCATTTTTTGACAAATTGGAAGACATATATTGATATACCAGTTTCCAAAAAAATTCTAATTTTATCGGAGGAAATTTGAGTGTGCCTGAGCGCTCAAACGGCATTTCTCCTTGGCAAAGTGGAATGAGTCAGTTGAGGTATTCACAGAATCTTCATCAGTTGAAAGCTTTAAGGATTAATGAGAGATATTCAGATCTGTCAAAACGTCAAGTTTTTACATCCGACATGCAAGAGGTCGCCCTTTGAAAACCACTATCTCTCGCTCTGTGTGCAGTGTCATAGATGTATAAATACAGGTTTATGACTGGAAGTGAAAAAAATGATCTTGACATCAAATTTTCCAAACTTGCTCAACATTTGTGCATGCTATCGATTTTTATTTTTTCCTCACATTCTTCTGAATCATACCAATCCTAAAAAGTACAAAATATGGATAGAGACCCCAGAAATTCATTCGCGCGAATTTTCAAGAAGTTGTTTTCAAGCACTTGGACCAAGCTCAGAGGCATCATCGAGTTTCATTGATTTCGAATATGTGATCGAGAATGGAGATGTTGCATGTGTGAGGAATTTGCGATTCGACTGTTGATTTCAACGTAAAAGTTCGCGAGAAACACGATGGTGCCACTGGTTTTCTCTGAAATCAACTTCCAAGCTCAAAAAAAGCTCTCAAGTTGAGGCCAAAATGGAGGGGATACCCCACGCTATCCTGAGAGTCCACCTCTACATTAAGACAAACTCTCCATGCAAAGATAGGGAACAAATACATTGACAGGGCTGCCACCTTATTCGGGGACTCTAAAAGTGAAATCACGGCAGTCCTGTCAATGCATTTGCTCCCTATCTTTGCATGGAGAGTTTGTCTTAATGTAGAGGTGGACTCTCAGGATAGCGTGGGGTATCCCCTCCATTTTGGCCTCAACTTGAACGTTTTTTTAAAGCTTGGGAGTTGATATCAGAGAAAACCAGTGGCACCATCGTGTTTCTTGCGAACTTTTACATAAGAGTCAACAGTCAAATTGCAAATTACTCACACATGCAACATCTCAATAGAAGTTGTTTTTAAGCACTTGGACCAAGCTCTGGGGCATCATCGAGTTTTGTTGATTTCGAATATGTAAACGAGAATTCCGCGAATTTCGGCATTTGGTGCGAATTCCGCGAATTTCGACATTTGACGCGAATTCGCCAGTTCACACCACGAATTCGCGAATTTCAACGTAATTTGCGCTGTTGCTGGAAAATTCGCGGAAAAGTCATCTTCATCATTTTCGGAGCCGCCGATCATTCCAGTGGGCGGGACGCGGGAAATTTCGTGAAACTCCGGTTTCCGTCGTCCACCAATCGTAGATTTGTGCTTCATTTTGCAGTAAACCACTGGCACTGCCAACCACGTTTTTCAAATTTAAAATAAGAGTTGAATAGAAAACACACAATTAAAACAAGAAATTGGCAGTTACTAGCAAGAATTTTTGGTTTTTCAGAGAGAATTTTAGGATTTTTAACAAGAATTTTTAGTTTTTCAGCAAGAATTTGAGAAATGCAGTAAAATTTTAGTAAGAATTTGGGAGTTTTGAGCGAGAATTTTTGGAATTTTTAGCCAGAATTTAGGTTACTATAAATCATGAGAAAATGGGGTCTCTAAATGGAGCATACTTAAAAAGATACATACCTGAAAATCTACATGTCTGCTTTTGGCTTCTTCTTTTTCCCAGGACATGTGGATGAAAGGCCTTTGAACATAATTGTAAATGACGTCTGATCTACCTCCTGCGCGTTTCTTCACTTTTTCTTTATATGTGGGGTAACCTTCAATGCCTAGCCGGATTTTTTTCAAACCTCGCTCTTTCATCACCTGTTTGGCAACATCTCTATTCTCAATATACTTGAAGAATCTGTACATGGCAGTGCTATTGACAGCTGTAAGAACAAACAGAGAACGATTAGAGAATACAACTAGAAAATACAGTAAGAACTCAATTTACTAGATTTCAAGGGAACTGACGAATCGATCTGTTAAGATCATGGAGAAAAAAAAAAGGAGGTGTTTGCATCTAGAGGTTTGTTTACCCTGTGACGTAGGTCGGTACAACCTGGCCAGCGAAATCCGGAATTCGAAGTATGAAAAATGAACCACAATGTCCCATTTTTTGGCTTAAATCAACTCATGATATAATTTCAAGCACTTTTTATGGAATGACTTTTTTCCATAAATTGCACCATTTCCGAGAAAATCGATGATAAAAGTCGCTGTACCGACCTACGTCATCAAAAAAATCCAAGATGCTCGAAATGCAAACACCTCCTTTTTTTTCTCTATGTGTTAAGATGAGGAATGCATTAATTCAGAATATCTTGAAGCCCTTGAGGGGGCCGGAAGATTGATTCCCTAAATTGCAAAATTTGTTGAAACACAGTCTCATAAATAGAGGTCTTGTTGGAAAACGATTTTTCATAAAAGTCATGAGAATACAAGGGATTCGTTGCAAAAGCTTCATCTGCGCACATTAACTTTCTTAAAACCTTGGACTCCAGATACCACAGAATATTGTTGTTTTCTTTCATAGAAATTGACAATGGGAAAATTTGGATGCACGATTTTTGGTTTGTGTATTAAAATTATTTTCACTAAAAGGCGATTGGAAAGTTAAAATACAGCTGTGATGTTGATCTACAGGCAATATGCAAAAACTGGTCCATGGACTCAAGTATTCCAAGGTGCAAGTTGGGAAGACAGCAATCTTTTAGTCTTGATGTTCGGAAACATCACTTCAATGTTGGCATTTTCAAATTTTTATTGAGCACCTCCAAATTCAAAATTGTCACTGCAGGGGTAAGATTGACTGAATCAGCTTACTCAGTCGATGAGGAAGTCAATTTTTACATACTTTTGGTCGTAAAATTCAAATATGAGGTTTAGAATTCACTCAGACTTTTTGAAAGGCCAATAAAACCAAAATCACATTCTAATTTACCTCTCTTTCAGTCAAATAGGAAGGGTTGTTGAGGAAAAGGAAATGGCAAAAGGGTGAAAAAACACCTTGGGACAAAAACCAGAATTTCCTCCCCTCGGTTTCGGGAGTGAAATTCTCTTCTGATGATGAAACTGTCTCTTTGCTGAATGTAACTATGCATAAATGGACCATTCAAGTTAAAAAAATCAACTTAAAATGGGATTCAGGTTGCAAAAATAAAAAACCTGGGATGTTTTGTGGTGTCACAAACCTGTCCTTAATAGGCCTTGTGTCTAGTCGTATGATTCTCGCTTCCGATTTTCTTTTTTTGCCGGTTGAAAATGTGGTTGTGACACCGCGAAACGTCCCAGGTTTCTTACTTTATGCTTTTAATTTTGCGGCCTTAGTCCCAATTTAAGTTGATTTTGTATTCTCGTTTCGGGCCAATGAAGTTGTTTTATAAAAAAAATCAGCGGAATTAACAAAGAGATCAAATAATATGTGACAAAGAAAAAAGACTTACTTTGTGAGTATTCCTCCCCCATTTGGGGAGGATAAGCTTCATCCCAATCTACTGAGTCATCATCAAGAAGAACAACAACATGGCACTCTCGGTCACCACGTTGTGCCGAATTGACCATTAAGGGTAAGATCAAATCTTCCAGGAAAACTTCAAACTGACACCTTGCACCTTCATTGCTCAGTTCATGTAGCAGTCCTCCTGTTATGTAAACCAAAAAATTGGTTATAAGTTTTTAATTTTTCCTTCTTTTTTAATATATTTCCGAAATTCATGCCAACTTATTTTCCCTCTGTTCATGATATTGTTTGCAAGATATCAATCTCAGAAAATGTAGTTTTAAGCCCATTGAGTTAGTTGGTATGAATTCTGCAATAATGCTAATTAGTAGCAGATCAGTGAAGGAATTTATTTATGTGAACCGAACTAAGAAAGGAAAACGAATCCTGGTGAAGACAGGGAAACAAAAATTTCCTTAGTGACCAGCTACTGACAGGCATTTTTTCCACTTTCATGCTTTTTGTTGCTTTTCATTTCTCTTATAAATGTGCTACCCTTTCATTCATTTTAAAAATAATCAGTGAAACTATGAATACTCACGTAAATTTTGACATTTGACAGTATTTGCATCAAAAGGCACAAGTAGATAATCACAGGCTTCTCGCAATTCTTGGACAGAGACAGTGGGTGGACAACGGATGATTTTGCCCTTGTAGAAATCTAAAATACATCGAAACACTGCTGCAGAAATCCCTTCGGCAACTTCATATTCTCCCCGTTCGTTAGGATGTGTGAATTCGAGTCCAGAGGTGAACATTCTAGTGGAAAGAAAAATAAGTAATGATACCACAAATATTTTGCGAATAATTGGATATTGGAAATGGACAGCCTTAGAGGAAATGTGAGAACCTCAAGTCAAATTATTATGGCCTTGTATGTTTGTCTGTTGAATTGCTTGGCTCATAAAACTAATGCATAATACAACAGCTCAATTTTTCTGGCTGCAAAAACTCTGATAGCTATCAGTGAGGGTCTTTTTATCATTACTACTTTTTGATGGAGCTCTTTTGATAGCTTTGATAGGACACCTTGATTTAAGAGCGGAAAGACCTTTGCTTTGCAAAATCAATTCTAAACAGACCATGAAAATGTTTCAACTACAGTCCTAAATTTTTTTCAGAAATATTGAACTTCAAACTTGCGGAATTGAACATAGGGTTTTCTCCCTCCGCTGTGTTCGATTTTGGAGGAAAAAAACTATCATACTTTTTAGGTTCCAAAATGATAATCAATACTGTAAGCTTTCTGTCTTTCTACGGCTAAAGATCTAGCAGGCTAATTTCTATGAATTTTCAGCTTTCGGCAGATAATTCTTCAGAACAGTCTGCAGTTCTCAAACATTCCAAACACGGCCCAACAAGAGCACTCGTGTAAATTTTAATTAAAAGACACAAGTAAAAAATCACCAGATGCTAGCGATTTTCCAACAAAAGTATCAGATATAACGAGGATAACAGATGATTTTGACTTTGTTTGATTGCAAAAATTTGTTATGGCTGCAAAACACCAATTGAAGGCTGAGTAGTGTAGCGGCCAGGGAGGCACTAATACTGCATTCATTACAACTTGGGTCATACTGATTTCATACTGAACTAACATTTCGTATAAAAGATAATAATGGAAAAAGAGCATTAAACAATAACACACCTGCCCAACATCGTGTTTGGATGAGCTGTGAACATGGCAGGATCCAGAATGAATCTGGTATTATCTACGACTAGAGTAATTCGCTCTTCACTGCTGGGTACACTTGAAGATGCAGAGGCTGCTGTACTGTTGCCCTGATTCACGTCTTTGGAGGAACTTGTATGATGCTGTCCACGCGGCCTGTGAGCGTAAAAGACCACTCGGTCAAACTTCAATCTTCTAAATCTACGTTATTAAGAAATTCAGTTCAGTCTTAACAAAATAAAATGTTTAGCCTCTTGATTTTATCCTGCAGAAGGTTCAAGCATTCAGAAAATGTATGGAGTATTTTATAAAAGAACTTCCAATAATAGTTCTTAACTCGATGGATTCTTAATTTTAAAATATTGAAAGTTGAGAGTTCTGTCTGAAAATATATGGACCGCATTCAGCGGAGAGGAACCAAGCCGCATCAGCTATTGCCAAATTTATTTGGGCAATTTAATTTTTTACAAGAGAATGGTTGTGCCGATTCTTATGAAAATTTTAAGGAATTTGCTTCGTATTATGCAGAAAATTCACTGAAGTTGGCACAAAAATTCGCTAAACCGTTTTCATGTAAAAAATTAAGCTGCCCAATTAAATTTGGCAATTACTGCTGTGGCTTGGTTCCTTTCTACTTAATGCAGTCAATATAAAACTTTGTAAACTTCCAAATTTTGACTGTCTACCTGAGAATTAGATAAAATGCTTGATTTGAGTATTTACCTGCAACAAAAATTTAGTTTGACTTCTTTTGGTGATTAAAAATAAATGTTATACACTTCAAAGTCGATTCTAAGAGTTGCATTAAGAGAGGGGAGTTGAAAGAAGAACGCTGTTTCCGAAAAACATTACTTCAACAAACAGTATGATGATAAACAACTGTAAGACTTTTCTATGGTACCAAATTTCCAAAACCTCTTACCTTCAGATATGCTTATTTGTAAAATTGACTTCTAAGAGCTTCTCTGTTGAGTTAATGCGCACTATGACAATACTAAGACATACACAACAAAAGAAAATGAGATGAGAGAAAAAGATGACCATCTAAAAAAGATACAATCGCCTGAAAGATAAGAAAACAAAAGGTGAAACAGTTGGACAACACTTTACAATTAGGAACTATAATTTCTGATTCATACTTAAAAGCATCTACCTGCATAGGAAAACTAATGGCACACATGTTGTTTTTAAACTGAGCCAGGAATTTTAGTTCCTAATTGCAAAGTATTGTCCGATTAAGATAAGGAAATTCTTACTTATTTCGAGGGGAATTCTGAAGACTATGATGACTTGAGTGAGAGCGGTCACTGGAGCCATTAGATGACTGTCGCTGCACTAAGCACGGTTTAGGTTTTGAGCCCGAGCTAAATCTAAAACAAAGTAAGGAGGAAACAAAGATAAAAATTAAAAATTGGCAGAGTGAAAGTAGAGAATAGAGTTCCAACTTCAAGTTGACTTCAGTTATGAGATAAGAACCAACAAAGGAGGAGGTATACAACTTCAAATTCCCACTATTTGCAACATGTTAATCTCAGAATCTCTTAAGTTTGTCAACAAAAATGGGACTCTTTTTAAATTCAACAGAAACATAGAGGGGTATGAAAATACAAACTTTAATAATGTTTATATCAAGAGGGGTAATAACAAAAGTCCAAGAGTGATGGGCAGTAAAATTTGTAATCTAAAATCAATCTGTTTCATCTAAAATCAATAGAAAATTCTTCAGTCTTTAAAAATGCCATAAAATGTTCATTGACAACCAAGGCTACTTATAGCCTTGATGAATGTGTTTGTGATTTCCTTTAGTTTTATGTTCAAGTTTTATGTTATGTTTCCTTGCGGCTGTGTGTTTGACTTTGTTCTGGAATCATGTAACTTATAATTTAAATTTCAACAATAAATTATCATTTATACTTGTTCTGTTTTTGTTGTCCCTGATAGTATGGCTGCCTTTGAATTGATAAAAAAACTTTCAAGCTTCTTAAAAAATTTAAGCTTGAGTAAAATCTGATTGATTGCCTCAAAAATTGATGGAAAATATCTACAAACTAAGTAATTTTAGACTTGTCGTTAAAGAATAAATCGTAATTGTTTCCTACTAATCCAAACCAAAATAAATAGAACTCTCAACGCTATAAATAATTCATTACTTCTAAACAATTTTTACAATTTTTTTATAGTTTGAAGCGATCAATTCCACATTTGAAAAACATTTCATTTTCAATCTTGGTCAGAAACTCTTTCAACTGAATTTAATTTGAACTGAATCAAATTCATGAATCCAAAAACCCTTTGCATCATCGGTTATTTTTTAAAAAAATGAAGCTTTATCCACTATTCTGCCTTACTACCTACGGAACAGAAAAAGTGCTGTCAAAATTTGAATTAAAAAATTAACAATGTACAAAAGTGAAACTTAGTATGCATGGAATTCTTTTACTTGAATTGATCCTCACAGCTACTTCAACTGACCTGTTTTTAAATACTCTCCTACGAGTATCTTCTGAGTCTTGATAATCTTCGGTATCGCTACTTGTGTCCCTATCATAGTGTGGTCTGTCTTTTCCAGCCATAGTTACCTGCAAAAAAAAAATTAGGAGAGGTTAGAGATTTAATTTTAAATGCCGAACAATTAATTTCCAAAACAAAGCAAATAAGTGACGCTACATATAATGATTGTTCTCAAGTGGTGGAAGGTATAAAACCCCTCTAAAATTCTCGTAAGAAATATTACGGACATTCATAAGAAATTATTTGAGCAAATTCTCACTTGAAGTATATTGAATGATGGGCAGTCTATGATACTGCTAATCAAAGTACACGGTTTCTGAGTTTGGCCATCAATAAGTCACATCCTGCGGAAATTTCCATTGAGAGAAAGCCATCTAACTGATTGTTCGTCTTTTCACACCCGGGGGAGGAATTCATTTTCTTTTTCTTCTTCTTATTTTTAAATTTCAAATAACCGATAGGGGCTAATCCCATTCAGTCTCATAGCAACCAACTATCCCTAACTTACCCTATTTAACTACAGGAATATCCGTCCCTATAAACCAAATTTCTCCCATCTGTAGCATCTAGGGAGCAACTGGACTGTATTTTGCAGTTCGGAACTAAAATTTCTGGCTCATCAGAAAAAACACTTATGAGCATAGGGAAACTAATGGTACATACGTTGTTTTTAAACTGGGCCAGAATTTATAGCTCCTGATTGCAAAATGTGGTCCAATTATCCATCATCCTTCAATTATTCTCCTGAAAATTTCTGCTGAAAACTTGATAGACCTGCCACAGAAAATTGCTGCCTTCGGGTGATTAGTCCAAGTTCTTGACGTAATCCAACTGGCATGCAATAAATTGAAACGCTTAAGTGAATAATCTTGGCCAATTTTGACTTCTTAGCTCAAAAAATTGCAAAATTCTGAAAAGTGAAGGCAGGAATCTTCTTGGAAAAAAACATAACTTTCAATATAGTTATCAATTACTGTACCCCTCATTTCCAAGGAGAATCCTCTCAACACATCTCTAAATTTTGTAAATTTTTTGGTTGAGAATAATTCTTGGGGCTCATGCACAGCCGCTGTTGTACTTTCCTTGGCTGAGAAGTCAAAAGTTGCAGAAATTTGGATATACTCAATCGATTCGAAGTACCACACGCCTGTTTGATCATTCCAGGAACCCTATGCGAATCACCTTCAATGGGTGCTATGCTTTAAAAACTTCCTTTTCCTGAGGTTTGATATAAATTTTACCTTCTTCAGATATACCAACGGTGTAGGTCGGCAATCACATAACTTGGTTTGCGACGTCGCAGACTTCCTGTCATACTATATTTTGTAAACGGAAAACTACTCAACGGCAATTCTTTAAAACTTTAAAATTTTTCTTCTCTGCGCAAAGAAAGTTCTGCATAAACTTTGAGGAATGATGTCAATTTGTTCTCCTTTTGAAAAATAACATAGAGGTGGAGATTTTCAGACACCGCAAATGATATATGTGATTGCAGACTTACCAGACTTAAAATCTAGAGCCATGTTTTATCCAGTATGAACTGCCTTATATTCATTACTGAAGGTGTATAGAATGAGAAGATTGAGTGCAAAGTCAATTGAGACATCAAAAGAAGAAAATTTTGATGTTGTGATTTATGACCATACTAACCTCTTGACGGCCCTAGCTCAGAATGCAAATGCTTATTGGCCTCTGAAATAACCGTTCTTTCTATTTAGAGTGAGCACATTTCTGCGACAAATCGAAATAGAATTCATGATGCAGTCCAAACTTGTTCACAATGGACCATACTGAGGTCGGTGAATGATTTCTACAATACGCTAATGTCTTTCTTCGATGAGTTGACTTTCTTCCTTATTTAGGATAATCCAAAAATTACGATACCCCTTCGAGATAGATTTTGGGTTTCCGTTCAAGTGTATATTCAACAAAGTATATGTAAAAGCCTCAACAGCAACAATAAAAAGAACAGGCTGAAGGGTTGAATGAACTCAAGTTGACATGACTGCACTGTTACTTTAGACCCCTTTATCAGATTAAAGGTTTGATACTTTTTAAAGTTCCAAAAATGCCACTTGGTGGAATCTTCACTGAGGGTTCAGCTCAGCATGCTTAGCGGACAATGTAGTGCAGGAAAACGAAGCATCATTAACTTAATTGACAGAGGACAAGAAAGGAGAGACAAAGAAAGTCACAGCTCTTACCAGCCAAGAAGGAAATACATTTACCGAGGAAAACACAGAGGTAATGAATGATTGGAGTGACTTGATTGTTTTGGAAGCAATGGCACAAAAATCTACACCTGAAAATAATTTAAATTCTGAGATGAACAGCTTTAAAATTACTAAAACAGCGACAGTGCTTTTTTCCAGAAAGTGAATGAACAGTTATCACACTCCGTTCGCGATGTTTTGTTGTGATGGAGTGATGTGTGGTGGTGGTGTATGCCACAGTGATGCCAGTTCTCAGAAGGGTGGAAAGTGGGTCAGCTCAGGCTCAGCAGCGTCGCGGCGCACAGCAACGGCGACGCTTATTGGCTCATTCAGCAAGTTGAAAATATTCAAAAAAATGATGATATGTATTCAGAATCAGATGTTTTTGGTATTCAGGGAGTTGTTGAAAATTTTCATTCATAAATGCCAGAGATTCCTCGCCTTTTGGTACTCTCAGATGGACTAAGCTCACAAAGCACAGTGCAACTCTATGTGCCACATAAATTTTGAAATAATTTTGCAATCTCGTGCAACAAGAGTGAAATTTTCCTCACTGTGAAATTGCAATTTACATCATTCGGCCATTAAATGCTGACCCTAAATAATTTACTAAATGAGTTGCACGTGTAAGGAAGGTAGGTAATTTGCAATTCAAAACTAATTACAACATACTTCCATTCCGTTGCAATACAAGAAGAAGAGCCCCTTCAATTTGTGAGTAGACAACTTATCATACACCTCGATCCAGAAGCAAGAAGCAATAATTATATTTTCCCAAGAAAGAAATCGCAAATGCAATTTACTGCAACATGTGATATTTGGGTCATACGCCCCTTCAATTAGAAAATAGGCAACACATCATACACTTCGACACAACAGCATTGATTAAGCAATAATTTTACTGTGTAATCGTAATTTATTATTGCAACCTGCGTTACTCGGGTTATGAGCAGTTATTAGGGGCCATCCATAAACCCACGCACCCAAACAGAGGGGAGGGGGGGATCTAGCAGTGGATGACGTAAGCTTTCCTAATGGCTAAAAGGCTGAAATTGCTTGTTTTAAAGGCTGCATCTACTGATTTTTATCGATTTCCTGAGTTTTCTCTCCCAACGGAACGAGGAACACAACATTTATATAGGTAAACTCAATCAAAGAAATTAATCGTGTTCTTATCGCTGCAGATTATATCCACTGATTTTGATGGATTTTCTGCATTTCTCCCCCACTCGGAATAATCGGAGGAAAAATATTCAAAAATTGTCTTCGGAAATTTAAGTTTTGTCGAGGGAAATTTGGCAACGTTTGAAGGCTCATACGGCGGCGTTCTTACTGAGCATGGTAGTGTAGGTAAAGAATACCGCTATGATAAAGTAACGATACTGACCTCTCTTAACAACCAGGTAGAATGATTGGAAAAATGATGAGTCTGTGCAGAGGCGGATCCAACAATTTGGCAACACCGGATTTCCTCCATTTCAACCTATGCTAAATAATCGATTCTTGTCGGAGAATCTGGCCCTTCCGGACATCGATACATTTCCATAGGTTTATATGGAGAAAATAAGACAATGTTGTCAATTTGCTGGAGCCGCCAATGAGACTGTGGGCGCCTTAACTAAAAAAAAATGGATGAGTCCTTATTCTTTATTTGAAAAGAAGAAAAATAAAAAAAAAGAGATTAGGTAATATAAAATTTATTACTGGAGAGGGGAAGTGATGCCGTATTTTTTCTGCTCGGCTGATCGGAGAAATTCCCTGTTGGCAAAAGGCAGAACAAACACAATACTCGTGTACTACATTGCCGTTCTAAGGAAGAACGCCGTATGGACATTCGAGATTTGCCAAATTTCCTCGGATAAAACAGGTATTTTTCGGGAATCTGGTGCCCATTTTTCATTAATATTTTTAAATATTTTAGATGAAATTGAGACAAAATTGTCTGAAAAATTGGAAGAAAAATATTTACAAACTTTCCCGGAAATTCGTAATTTACCGTAGGAAATTTGGCAACGCCTAAAAGTTCATACGGCGTTCTTCCTTAACATGGCAGCACAGACCTACAGACGAGGGATTTTTACTCATGCTGCTTCTTTCTTATTTATTTATTTTTTTTTTAAATTTTGTTTCATTATAATTTTATTTTATTCATTTTTTTGAAATCATAGTCATAGCAATCAGCTAAAAAATTAAAACTTTCTTATGTTGAATAAAGAAAGTATTAATTCAGACGTAAAGAAACAACTAGGTATTGATTCTAATTTTTGGAATTCAAACAGACAATTTTTCATCTTGAATGCATGTCATCAGCTTGTACACTCGCGAGTGCGTACAGTAAAAACAAGTAATCTCATATTGCCTTAAATCCGTCGGACAGGCAACTAAACAAACGGTCTTGTAAAGCGGAGAGTATCACTAGGATGTGAAGGCGCTCCAACTTTCAAGCCGCGGTCGTACTAATAAAGTTCCTTCTCAACCAATGAAACCTTTATGTCGAGGCGAATTACTGAAATTTGACAAGTTGACACGCATGTCGCTTGCAAACCTGCAATTCTACTGACGGGCGAGGGCGACATATTTTGAGTTTTCAACAGAAGAGCTAAGTGGAGTGTTCTGCACAAATACTGGGACAAGAAATCGCCAAAAAACGGCTCAAAAAAGAGTGGCGGTTTCAAATTAGCAGTCTCGTGCTTAAAATTCAATTTTTTACCCTACTCGATGTATACTTTTCGCTCATTACTGCTGAAATTGTTGTCTCCACGGACGAAGGTCGTCCCTCTTCTAATTATTTTTTCATTGTCACCGTCGAGAGGGTGAATTTTTGCCACCCATGAAAACGTTTTGAATTTTCGGTTAATTAATGCAAAAACACCTAACACCTTGTAGTTGCGTTATATAATAAAAGTTAAAAAAAAAAAAAAAAAAAAAAAAAAAAAAAAAAAAAAAAAAAAAAAAAAAAAAAAAAAAAA